CCGTTGGTATCATCCTCGAGACCTGTGTGCCGGGTTACTTCAACAATTACGCCCAAGTGATTGGACTGGGAACCGCCACCTGGACTACCGCTATCCTCACTCTGCTCACTGCGAAAATGGGTATGCCGAAGAAGGTGGACTCGCCAGTCGACCTGGGCAAGACGTTCCACGCTTACACTACCCCGTGGGCGGATCCCGAATGGTCTCAGCAGGAACTGCAAACCTTCTTCGAGAGAATCTCTCTCGTGCCGTCCGACGCGCGACTCAGGCTTGAGCCTGGTATTCATCCTGGGATGGAAGTCAAGTCTCTGCTGCTCTCGCGCAGAGAAGAGCCGCGAATCGAGGAGGCTTTCCCAAAGGCACAAGAACTGATTAACCTAGCCCTGCAAGATTGGGCCAAGGGGGAGATTTCGATCGAGCTCGTTCCCTTGGGCTCCCTGGGTCCCGGCATCCGCGCTTTGAGCTGCCATACTATGGACCAGCTGAAATTGGTCATTGCTGTCGGACGCGGACTGGACCAGCGCATCGACGTTAGCAGTAACTGCCAAGTCATCGCCGAGACCCTTCTTCATGCAGTGTCCGAGTCCATCCTGCGGATGCCTCACGAGTACGCGGTGCTTGCGGAATCGCTCGTCACGGCCGGCGTGACCGAGACCATGGCCCGGCAGCTTCGCGAAGAACCCAACACCCCGGTAGTCGTGCGGTGGGCCAAGAAGGAGCTCCTCCGGCAGCTGTGTCTGGGTTTCGAATGTGACACGCATTGGGAGAAACTGCCCAAGACTATCCGGAAGGCGTTGCTTGACCGTTGTGTCGGCAAGCCTTCGCACTTCTCGGACAGCGACAGGCAATGGCTTCAGGAACACCTCTGCCGCTTTGATACCAGTGATCTGGATGTTCACGTTGCCCGATGCAACCTGGGAGCCGCCACCGCCGTCAGCATTCTTGATTACGCCCACTACGGCACCGGCGAAGAGGCCCTGTGCAAGGATTCCGAGACGCCGCTGTTCATTCCCTATGTGTCCAATAAGCTGCCTGCGGCCCTAGCGTTCATCAAGGATCCCCTGCACAACTTCTGGTACTCGGTTGCGTCCGCCATCAAGTTCATCATCATTGCCTTGATTGCCGATCCGGAATTCCAGAGAGAATTCGACCATGTGATGAAACAACGCCCACGCATCATCCGGGTGCCGTGTGTGTTCATCCTCAACATGATCTGGTCGTACTCGAAGATCGTGCAGGACGTGATCCTGTCGTTCTTCCTCTTCCATGGCCGTGACAACGTCAAGCGTCTCTGGGACGAGACCAAGGGTATGACCATCAGCATCAAGAAGAGCAGGTTCATGGTCCAGAGTCTCGACGGCACCTTTACTGCTTTCAAGCACGACGACGAAGACGGAGGCTTCAAGGTTTACTACTACAGCGGCGAGCACAAGACCGAACCCGAGGGCACCAAGTCGCTCAAGTACGTCAGCACGTACTCGAAGGACATGCTTCTTCTCATCCGGCAAGAGTTCAAAGACGGAAAGGCGATCAACGAGTTCCATTATGACTACCGCGCCCCCAACAAGAAGAGTCTCAAGTTAACCCGCGGCTCCGATATCAGGATCCCCCTGGGCCGGCGTTGCATCCGCGGCGACAGCCATCTGCAGAGCGTCCAGTATAACCGCAAGGGTCTCATCGAGGCCGGTTCCTACATGAAAGATGGCAACCTGATCCGGTTCAAGTACCACTACCGGAAGAATCCCCGGTTCGGCGATGAACTGCTTCGCGCGGAGTTTGTGCTCTCGCACATCACCTGCACCGTCTCCTGGTGTGCTCCTCCCGTCCGGCATCCCGAGAAGGTCGAGCGCTGGATCCCTCACTCCAAGGTCACCGAGGCGACGTTTGTCCAGGGCGCCGATGTCTACGAGGCTCGCTGGCTGTACGATCACAAGTTCCACCCCACCATCTTCACCACGCTCAACGGGCAGAAGATCCAGACGCCGCCCATGATCGAACATGACTTCCTCGGCGTCCTGGCCAAGCCCAAGTACACCAGCTTTGTGCATGACAATCCCCTCTTCTACTGCGACAGTCTCAGCTCCAACACCATCACCCGCTTCCTGGGGCTCTCCACCAAACGGTTCCCCGTCTCGACCTCGCGGGCCCGCTCTCTGGTCTGGAAGGCGTGGAAGGACCGCGTCGACTTTGACGGCATCATTGTCCGCTGGATGGACGAGCGGCTGCTGCGCAGAGACAAGACGCTTGCCCCGTACTGGCGCAGCCGTGACCGGGGCGATCTTGCCTCGGCGAAGAAGTACCTGGACCTGCGCGCGGACACGGTCATGGCGAGTGCAGACCTCGACGACAACATCTCCAGCTGGACGCCCATGGCGATCAAAGTCAGCGATCTGTTGAACTTTGGCCCCGGCGGCGATGCGGTCGTCAACACCCGGTCCAAGGATTTCGGGTCTGACACGGACAAGTCGCTGCACGTCATGGCGGCCGACACGGGCACCTGGCCGAACGAGGGAGGTGGTGTGTCTGCCTGTCGGCGTGATATGATCAACTCCCTGCGGACGATCAAGTGGCACATGATCTGCGAGTCGGCCAACGACTTTGGCATTCCCAAGCATCAGACGGAGCAGAACGTGCTCTCGTTGAAGATGATCCCTCTGTGGGGGTTGGACTTTTTGACGCCGACGCATGGGCTCTTCAAGAACAAGCTCGACTCGGAGGTGGAGAACGTCACGTCAGCCAACGATATGGATATCAAGATGAACTTTATCCCGATCCTGACGGCGTTGGTCAAGGGTGCTCGCGCCATTGAGCTGTCCAAGGCGGATATCCACCAGGCCACTCGGGCGCTGGTCAACCTCAACACGTACTTCCAGGACTCGAGGCACTGGACCCAGGTCTGGAATAGCGATATCGTCAAGGAGAGCTGGCGCGATCTCTGGCTCACGCAGGAGATGCCCAACACGATCCCTTCGGCGCAGTGGTTCCACACCGAGCTTCCCACCCTGGGGACGCTCGACGTTGCGCTGGAGCTCTGGTACCGCTACCTGTTCATCTTCTCGATTCCCATTCCCGAGCAGATCCCCAGCGTGTTCCAGGCCTCGCATCACAGCGTCAGTGCCTCGTACGGTGTCGTCTGCAAGATCAAGCGGAACTGCACCCTGCAGATCTGGGACCACGCCATCAGCTGGCGCGAAACCAACCTCTGCCTCTCGTCTGCCCTGTGCAAGCTCTCGCCGTTTGTCCGCAATGCCCTCCTGGGCTTGATGCGGATCACCTCCGTCATCACCCTCCACCATGCCGACATCATCTCGCCTTGTGCCGACTTCTTCAATCCCGGATGGGAGGTGGAGATCGGTACCTGCCAGGGCACCATCGAGCACCGCAACATCTTCCGCCGCAAGGTCGACCCCGTCGTCAACGGTATCACGGACATGCAAAAGTTCGCCCCCGTCAAGGAGATCAAATCGGAGCGACCCACCGTCACCATGCTGTCGCACGTCTGGTACGCCAAAGACATCAAGACCGCCCTCCTGGCCGCCGACATCATCATCAACCAGTGGAAATTCGACGACTACCACCTAGACATCTACGGCGCCATCGACAAGGCTCCGACCTACTCTACCGAGTGCCAGGAGATCATCGCCTCCAAGGGCCTCCGCGGCCGCGTCACCCTCCGCGGCAGCGCCGACCCCATGAAAGTCCTCGAAAACACCTGGCTCTTCCTCAACTCCTCCCTCTCCGAAGGTCTCCCCCTCGCCCTCGGCGAAGCCGCCCTCACCGGCGCGCCCGTCGTCTGCACCGACGTCGGCGCCTCCCTCCGCGTCCTCAGCGACCCAGACGACTTCTCCCGCTTCAGCGCGGTCGTCGCCCCCAACGACGCGCTCGCCCTCGCCCGCGCCCAAATCACCATGCTTGCCCTCCTCGGCGAATGGTCCCAATACGCAGACGACACCGAGCCCGCCCCCGTCCTCACCTCCTCGCCTACCCCCGACGACGTCGCAAAGATCACCCGCCGCATGTACGAGAAGTCCGAACACCGCCGCAAACTAGGCATGATGACCCGCAACATCGTCCAGAAGTCCTTCTCCGGCGACCGCTACCTCCGCGAACACGAGCAGATGCTCTGGATCGGCAAGGCCGTCAAGACGATGGCCGTTCGCGCCGCGGCTGGCGCCCCCGGCACCGCCCTCGCTGATCCTATCGATATCGCCGATGCCCTCCAGGCCGCAGACCCCATCGAGGAAGAAGTCATCACCATCCCGCAGTCCGCCGTGCACTCCTGGCGCTCGTCTGCCGCGTCGGGCATGTCAACCCTCTACTCCACTGTCTCGGGATACCCCATGCTCCCGCTCACCCGCCCAGCCTCGATCCGCTCCTCCTTCAGTAACTTCTCCACGGCGACAGACTCAGACTCCTTCATGCCGCTGCCTGGCAACGCATCCCTCCCTGTTTTCGCGCCGCGGCAGACCCTCTCCTTCGACGCTGGAGGAGCAGTCACTCCTACGGGACGGTTGTCCCCGTCAGGCAGGCTGTCGCCTGCGTTTAGTCGGCACCGACACTCGCATGCGCGGTCGATCTCCACGCTGGGCCGCGAGCAGCTGCGTGGTTTGCAGCGTGAGGAGCCACATCCGTACCGTAATTCGGATGTTAGTTTGCATATGCGGGAGGAGTTTTTGCAGTCGAGTATTTTCAAGTCGTTAGACGGTAATGGGGGCAGTAAAGTCTGATTGCACGCTACCCTACCCTGCCCTACCTATTGCATATATCATACCAGTCTAGACTGTTTATGATGGACTGACTGGCTGTATATATCCTTTCTTACCTTGTTTATCATGTACTGCATGCACGCAGAAATTCATGTTTAAGGCGAGGCTGACTTGCATTTTCATTACGCATGAAAAGAGTTGTTGCATGGTGTTTATAGTTTGCATAGCGTGTTGAATATACATTTTCTTCATTTGATTACTTACAAACGTAAGGATATAGAAATTGTATATAGACTAAGGATACAATAACGGCAGCGACCGCTTCATACGCTCCCACATTGACTCGTCCGGCACGGGCTTTGCTATCAGATGCCACTCCCCGTTAAATGCATTGACGAGCCAGTCCGAAAGACCTAGCCAGATTAGTATTGCGAAACAAAAGCAGGGGGAGACATACGGTCGTAGACCATGGTGTGCGCGTTATGGAAGTAGATGCTATGATCCGAGTCCGGGTAGAACTGCAGATCGTAGTTCTCGACGTTCGACAAGTCCAGCTTGTCGATTAACACAAGGGTATTCTGTAGATGGACGTTGTCGTCCGACGCGCCGTGCATGACAAGGAAGCGGACGCTCTCGGACAGGGCGGCCATGTCGGTTATGGTCGAGTTGTCATATCCACTGGGATTATGCTGGGGGGTGTGCATGTATCGTTCCGTGTAGATTGAGTCTGAGTCCGTTAGAATAGATTCTATGAGTAGAAAGGGGAAGTAATACCATAGAACCGCCAGTCCGTGACGGGTGCAACCGCCATTCCGTACTGGAAGGTCTGGCCAGCGTCTTGTTCAAGAGTCTTCAACGTCATGAACCCGCCGAAGCTCCATCCCCAAATCGCCATGCGGGTTTCGTCGACGTATGATTTCGCCGCCCACATCTTCGCAGTGGCGATTTGGTCGTGCGCCTCGTAAAAGCCTAGGTTACCGCGGACAATGCACCGAGCCTTGCGGCCGATGAAGCCTGTGCCGCGGCCGTCCACGGTCACGACGATATAGCCCAGGCTGGAGGCGACGTAGGACTGGAAGTCAACGGTGAACTTGCGGTCCACGGTCTGCGAGCCCGGTCCGCCATACAGATAAAACAGGACAGGGTATTTCTTGGCCGGGTTGAAGTGAGGAGGGCGGCGCTCGACGAGCTGCAGCGTGTAGCCGTCGACAGTGACGTTTTGGTAAATCTCAGTCGGGAGCGCGTACGCCTCTACCATTTTGGTGAGCTGTGCATTATCTTCAATGCGGTCTTCGTACGTTATTTCGTCGCCTTGCGTTTTTATAATCGCCTGCCATGGGATAGAGGGCCCTTTGTACGTGAGAAGCGCGTAGCCTGTGCCGTGTGAGAAGGAGACGTCATAGTAGCCTGGTTTGGAAGTGTCGGTCAAAGGCTTGAGATTCGACCCGTCCAGCTGCACACGATAGACATGGCGCTGGGTGGGTGCTTCCCTAGTGCCGACAAAGTACACCAGGCCGCGTTGCAGATCTACGGCAGCCGGTGCGTCCACCACTTCCCACTCGCCCGATGTGAGCATCAGGGCGTTGGGGCTGTCAAGTGGCGAGAAGTATGCAAGGTGGTCGTATCCGTTGTACGGCACGGTGTCAATGTACCCGTCGTGCGGTCGTCCATTGTTGGGGTCCGCCGGGATGAAGCGTGTGGACTGCGAAGGCTCGACCCAGCCACCGTCAAGACCGGCAACGTCTTCGGATCTCACCAGTTTGCCTGTCCTGGACTTGGTGTCAATCAGATACACCTTGAGAATGTCGCTTTCGCGGTTGGTCGATCTCACAAGGACCTTGCCCTCGGACGCCCACAAAACCTCAATGATGATGCGGTCATCATCGGCAAAGTCGTCTGCTACTTCAACGGAAAAGACCTCGTTCTTGTCAACGTCGTAGAACTGCAGGTCGACGACTGGGTTCGGGGCCCCAGGCTTGGGATACTTGATCTCCCTGACGTCGGGGTAATTCTCCAACCCCGGAAGAGGCTTCTTCCCCGATGGTCGCGAGATGTAGTACTGCACCGGAAACTCGGGCACACTCGTCTCATTTGTTCTGAAGAAAGCAATATACTTGGCGTCATTCGACCACCATGTGACGCTGTTCCCCGAAATCACTTCCTCCTCATACACCCAATCGGGAACACCATAAAAAAGGTTCTCCCCACCATCCTTGGTAATCACGACAACGCTGTCCGACGACAGCCTCCGCAGATACAGATTATTGTCCCGAACAAAGACGACCGCATCAGAGGCAGGAGACCAAAGCGCGAGCTGCACTCGACCATCCGGAGCACTAGGATCCAGCGGTTGCGCTGTCTGAGAATCCACGTCCAACACCCAGTACTTCCCGGTGAACGAGTGCCTCCAGTTCTTCTGCTGCTCGGATATCAACAGCACTTTCTTCAAGTCCGGACTCGGCCAGACGTTGCTGGGAACAATCGCCTTCCCGTCCACGTGCACGATGGGCTTCCACATCAGCACCCTGCTCTCCCGGCCCGTGTCGTTGCCCTTTCGACTCCGGATATCGTCCACCCGGAGATACCCCTGCTTCTCATCCCCACCCTTCTCAACAAGCAACCCGTCTTCATTGTTCGGCCCCGCAACCCACCCGATCGCATGGTACCGAGGATTCCATTGCCCCGCGAGCACCTGCTGCAGCGTGACAGGCTTGCCGGAGCTCGTGCTCGTGCTACCCAACGCCGAGTCGGCCCCGTGCGCCTGTAACGCGTCCGAGGCAGTCTGGTAGTTCGCTCGTCCCCCCGTTAAAAACAGCGCAAAGGCAAGCAGCCAGCCTCCAAGGCAGAGAAGAACCAGTATCCAGAATATCCGCCGTGCGCGACCGCCTCCGGTAGCTGCTTTCTTGGACGACGCGAGGAATGGTTCTGTTTGTTCCACCTCGCCGTCCTCGAGGTCGCGGTATTGGTCATCGTCGGCCAGCGCCATTGTCCCGTTGACGTTGGGAAAGGGCTTCTGTTCTCCCGGGAAGAGGGATTCGGTGGATAGACTCGAGTCGGTGGAGGTTTGAGATGCGGCGGATACGGATCGAGAGCGGGTTATTGGGAGAAATTCAGAGGTTTCTCCATGGTCGTCGGATGGCCTCATTGTCACGGTGGTTGTAGGACAGTGGCTGCAGTGATTGAGTTACGGTGTACATGTGACGGGTCTCAGCAGATCGACGATAAGCAAGGATCCTTCGACGGATCCTTCAAGGAGGTTGTGGCACCCAGGAAAGATAATTACAGCCGCTATAAGAATATCATCAAAGTAGCAGGTAAGGCATCGTCAAGACATGGTCATTGCTTCATCAGTAGACAAAGAAAGCCAGCGAATGGCCGTAAGTGGGAATAGTGATGACTGATGGAGTCTGGGGTAAGCTGTTGTTGATGATGATGGCGGCGATGCAGATAGCGCCTCTTGGCGGCCGATCAGATCTTATTCACCTTATTGACCTCCTTTTCGGGTATTATCCCGATCTATTCCGACTTCAATAATATCGACTAAGTCAATTCATCTATCTATTGCTATAGATAACTGTGATGTTTAGGTACTGCACAAACAGAGTGGTCCTAATTAGCAATTTGTTGTATATCAAGTCAAGTTGACTATATTCTACTTGGGCTTCAAGAATCGAGACATAAGACCTGACCAGAACAGGACTACTTTCGACATGTCAAAGTCTTCATTAGAGACCAATCGTCTTTACTAAACATAGTTGAATGTCTGCTTCAAACGAGAAAATACAAAATAATCATATAAACCCAGTCCAGCCATACACCTTTAAAGTAGCAAGTAACTCCAAACTCCAAACTCCTGGATATATCTTCCCGGGTATCTGCGAAACAAGACACAAAGTGTGTTCAATTCAATTCATCCTATCCGCCTGAATGAGCGACTTAACAGTGGATGGATTTGAAGCGAAGCCCAGCCGTATCGATGGCCAACTTATAGGCCTGACCCTTGATGACGGCCCACGAATCCTCATCAAACATGGCCTGCTCCCTGAGCGCCTCAATAATGCTACCCACACAGTCGTGGAATCGCTTTATCTCGACATAGGTGAACATACACAGCAGCGCAGCCCGTTCGTCGACCGTCGCAAGCTGGTAATCGTCCAGCAAAAGGGGCTGCTGGTCCTTGCCCTCGTACGTCCGTACCAGGTGCTGATAGAACGCGCGGCATTCTGAAGGATCGTTCGGCAGAGAAGATAGAGGAAGGTTCGGACGTAGTCCTTCCCAGAGCACCGCGTGCAGGCGCTCATGGGCTCTAGGGCATCGAGAGCGCGCCTGTTGTAGTTCAGGCCGCACTCCTTGGTCTTGAGCGAGCTGAGTAGTGGATTGCTGAGGTAGGCGACATCCAGGGAGTTTATGCCCTGTAGAGTGCACTCGCATGGGAAGAGCTCGTCGTCTCCCAGGTCGAGATCGATGGTTGGTGGGGGAGTGGCAGCTTGTTTAAGGACCCGCTTTTGGCAGGGCCTGTAAGGAACTGTCTCCATCTGGGCGAAGATGATCTTCAGACCCTTCATGAAAGCGGTGATGGATTGGCTTTTCATGTTGTTAAGTTGCTGAGACAAGCGAATGTTTGTAGTTTGGTATGAAGCGAGTGGAAATGTTGATTGTTGCGAGTAAAGCGGACGTCTGTAGATGGTTAGAGAGGCGAGAAAAAGAGAGGAGGGTTCTCTGCGAGAGAGCCATATTTAGCATCTATGACTGTGGTTGAACCAAGGTAGAGCGGCCATGCCTGGCTACAACGAGTCAAAGTGACGACATTCGCAGAGTTCCTGGGGTTGCAGCCTGAAGGATCGGGCAGTATTCAAAGAAAGTACCGGGATGATGTACAGTTAGAAAGACTAGAGCACAAGACAAGTGTCAAGTGTAAGTCGTACGCAGCATAACAGCTATATGCATTGGATCATCTATATTCGAATCATTTGATTTTTGGGTAAATTACTTATCATAATACACCACATCTGATCCCTTCTGGTTTATATGCCTCCAAATCATCTCGATAGAGCGATGTCATCAATTCTCATAATCATCTTGACTGTCTCAGCTGCAAGTTCGATGGCGCTGGTGCTCACCAAAAGTGGCTGCAGGATGTTCTCCTCTGTGATGTCGTCGCGCACACCGCCGCTACGGATGCTGACACCAGCATTGTGCTGGCCTTGAGCGTGGCGGTGTCGCAGCTCGGTGACAACCTTGATCGAATTCAGACCAGCGTTTTCGGCCAACGTGGTTGGAATAACCTCCATGGCATCCGCAAACGCCTTCCAGCATATAGCCTCGGTGCCTGCGAGCTCACGGGCACGCATTGCCAAAGAGTGGGCGACCTCAACCTCAGGAGCACCACCACCGGCAATAAGGGCGCGTTTCTTGACCAAGCAGCGAATGACACAGAGAGCATCGTGCAGAGACCGCTCGGCCTCATCCAGAATCAGGTTGTTGGCACCGCGGGCGACGATAGATACGGTCTGGTTGGCAGCGGTGGCGGGTGTCTTGATGCCGGTGATCTTTACGTACCGAGCACCAGACGCCTGAACCTCCTCGACGAGATCAGCAGTACCCAGTTTGTCCTCAGTGAAGGAGTCAATGTTGGCGACGGGTTTGCAGCCAAGACTCTTGCACAGGAACTCAACCTCATCCCGCTCAATGTCCTTGATGGCAAGAATCTTAAGTCGTGAAAGGAAGTGAAGGGAGAGGTCGTTAACGGCGTCACGGAGGATCGATTTTTGGATGAGAAGAACGTTGCACTTGGTCTTTTGGATCTTTTTGACCATGTTCAGGAGGTACTGGCGTTCTTCCTTGAGGATCTTGTCCATCTGACGGTAGTCATTGACAACGATCTGGTTTTCCATCTGCAGTCATCCATACGTTAGCAACCTGTATCGTGTTTTTTAGGTAGATACACGTACATCAGGCTTGGGAGGGCTGAGCTGGAACTGAATCAACCCTATCCGGGCCTTCTCGATTCTTGTGGGGCCGCCGCTGCTCTTGATGACGGGCTGGTTCAACACGAGACCGTCAACCATCTCACTGTCCTCAATTGTACCGCCGACCTTCTTCACAATTCGGATATTTCTCAGATCCACGTTCTCTGCTGTTTTAGGATCGATGACCTTAAGCACCGAATCCACGGCCATAGGGCCAAGAAGGCCAGAGTGCTGCGATACGATCTTGGAGGATAGCGACGTAGAAGCGGCTTGCAGGAGAGTAGCACGGTCCATCAGGTTGATCGGGCGAGACATGTTCTGGAGGATTTCCACCGCAGCAGCGGCGGCTCGCTGGAAAGATTCGGAGATGATGGTGGGATGAATACCCTTGCCCAACAGGCGCTCGGCGGCACCGAGCAAGCTACCAGCGATCACGACCACAGATGTTGTTCCATCACCAGCTTCGACATCCTGAGCAGCACTCAGATCGACAAGCATTCTGGCCGCAGGGTGCATCACGCTCATGTCTCTCAGCATCGTGTTTCCGTCGTTGGTCTATGGAGGGGTTAGTGCCGAGCTGCATACTCCGGGGCTGGAATTCGTACGATAATCGTGTTTCCCTTGGGTGTTTGGATCTATGACAGTTAGCATTGATCAATGTGCAACATCGGACGTGGCCATACCATCTTATCCATTCCTCTAGGCCCCAGAGACTGCAAAGCCGTTAGCCCCTCACCTTCGACATATATGGATCTCTAGATTGCATACTGTTCTGATGGCATCGGCGACGGCTAGAATCACATCAGCTAACATGTCACACAGACGCTAAAACAATGATAGATACCTCTAGCAGCCAGAATGTTGGCTGTCCGAACCGCCATAGGCTTCTCCTTATCCTGCGCGAGTATCAGAAAACGGCCCACAAGCAGTATTTGCTCCGTAAAAACCACCCACCTTGAAGGTAGTGCCAGGGACCCCCTGGGAGACTGCGGTCGCCATTTTGAATATGTCCGCGGATAGAGGCACAAAAATAAACTAGAAAATCAACAGGGACACGGGTCGTGATGAGGGGAGCAGATCCAGTGTCTGGAGGCGGCTCTGGGAATTTCTTCGAAGGTGCTTTGGCGGTGGTGATGCTTGGCGGCCACTAGCGTCAACAGCTGGAACCCGTCGGTGACAGCACCTCAAGCTTGAGAGCTCGATCACATCACTTTCCCAATCAAGCTTCACCTCACACGTCCATCCTGTCAGCCTCTTTCGACCTCATCCTTTCATCATAATCCCTATTCCGCTACGACTGTATTAACCTCTTTGTTTTTCTTGCCTTCCTTGTCGTTCGGTTCCGCGGTCCAGTCTCACCATGCCTAGCGCCACGGGAGCCAACTGGGAGAAGTACAGGAAGAACTTCGCTGATGACGAAGAGCCGGAGAAGAAGATCACACCTCTCACAGACGAGTACGCTGTGGCTGAGAGCAAGCTGAGCTCTACATGAAATCTATGAGGTATCGGCTGATTATGAGACAGTGACATTCAAGTACTCAAGACATACGGCGCCGCTCCCTACGCGACCGCATTAAAGAAGCTCGAAAAACAGATCAAGGACAAACAAGCGAGTGTAAACGAGAAGATCGGTGTCAAGGTTTGTTGGACATGGTGCTCTTCTATCTCCGGATCTTGGCTGACCTTAGACAGGAATCCGACACTGGTCTTGCACCTCCACATCTTTGGGATGTTGCTGCAGATAGGCAACGTATGGCGGAGGAACAGCCATTGCAGGTGGCTCGTTGTACAAAGATCATTTCCGACGAGAAGGATCCCGATAAGAGCAAATATGTCATCAACGTCAAGCAGATCGCCAAGTTTGTCGTGAATCTAGGGGAGAGAGTGAGCCCTACAGATATCGAAGAAGGCATGAGAGTCGGGTAAGTGACTACGGTTTATGTTGTTTTGGCAATTCTGACCATTTTTATAGCGTCGACCGGAATAAGTACCAGATCATGCTACCTCTTCCTCCTAAGATCGACCCTAGCGTGACGATGATGACGGTCGAAGACAAACCGGACGTGACCTACGGCGATGTTGGTGGATGCAAGGAGCAGATTGAGAAGCTGAGAGAAGTTGTCGAAATGCCTTTGCTGTCACCAGAACGATTCGTCAACCTCGGTATCGATCCGCCCAAGGGCGCGCTGCTGTACGGTCCTCCCGGTACCGGCAAGACCCTCTGCGCTCGAGCAGTTGCTAACCGGACGGACGCCACGTTCATCCGTGTTATCGGTAGCGAGTTGGTTCAGAAGTACGTTGGTGAGGGTGCACGAATGGTCCGAGAGCTCTTTGAGATGGCCCGGACCAAGAAGGCCTGCATCATCTTCTTTGACGAAATCGACGCGGTCGGTGGTGCTCGTTTCGATGACGGAGCTGGCGGTGACAACGAGGTTCAACGTACTATGCTTGAGTTGATTACACAGCTGGATGGTTTTGATGCCCGTGGTAACATCAAGGTCATGTTTGCAACCAACCGACCGTCGACCTTGGACCCTGCCCTGATGCGTCCTGGTCGTATTGACCGCAAGATCGAATTCTCGCTCCCCGATGTTGAAGGCCGCGCCAACATCCTCCGCATTCATGCCAAGAGTATGTCAGTCGAGAGAGACATTCGGTGGGAGCTGATCTCCCGACTGTGCCCTAATGCTACCGGTGCGGAACTACGGAGTGTTGCCACAGAAGCTGGCATGTTTGCGATCCGGGCGCGGCGGAAGGTTGCCACGGAGAAGGACTTCCTGGCCGCTGTGGACAAGGTCATCAAGGGCAACCTTAAGTTCAACTCGACGGCGACATACATGCAGTACAATTAGATGGTGTCTTCTTTATGCATCTTGGGTTACCTTGCATGGCTGGATGGATGTATGATCAGATTTAGCTCCGTGATTCGGTCTATGATGCTGCTTTAATATGATCTACTGTGCATTATCAGATGCCAACATTCTCACGGTGTACCTAAGATAGTTTTGTCCCAGTAAGTTGATGATAGTATAGTCACGTGACTTTAATCCGAGGCATAGCCGATTCCCAACCATGCTGGACTGGGAATTGGTTCAAGTCTTCAACTTGGTGTAGAGAATAAAGTGTAGCAGCTTATTGAACACTGGAAACTCATCTATAAATCACCCCGTCTCTTCGTCTTCATCGGCCACTCACCCCGGAATTCTTCGCTGCTGCCGGCTTAATAGAAGACCGGCCACGTGCCTTGCCCTTTTTGGCCAATGAGAAGCTCCCGGCTGCCCGAGGTGATTACTACTACGCACCATCTGATTGGCTGTCTCGGCCCCGGTCCTCCCCGTCGGCAAGTGAGCGAAGATTATGTCAGCCAACTCTTCCTGTTCTTCTGAGAACCGACGATCCAAAAGTGCAGCTCGTGAATACTACCACCGGCTTCCGACCTCGTCTTGCCTGCTCTCCCCTCCTCCTCCCACTACGACTGCCGTGGTGCTGTTGGTCGTGCTCATTTAATAGCCTCCTCTCAGAGTCATATACAATAGTGTCTCTTTTCTTTTGATCCGCCCACAATGAGCTCCCTGAGCTTGCGGAGCCTAGCTCCCGCTTCGAAGGTCGGTTACCCGAGGGTCTTCTGACGACCCTTTATTCTATACAGTCGCCGAGCTGACTCGCATATTTGCGCAGATTTCCCGTGCTTTGAGGGACCAGAGACGTTTTTTCTCCTCGACAAGGCCAGCAGGTACGAATTGAATCCCGCGAGGTTGACCTCCCCCGCTGTTCACTAACTCCGTTCTTCCAGCCCGCATATTCGCCAACGGTCCTTTGCGCGCTAAGGAGGCTACTGGTTACATTTCCTCGAAGTATCCTGTTATCGTAAGTGACTGTCGCACTGGCATGGAAACGAACTGGTCTAATTGACGGTAGGACCACGAATACGATGCTGTCGTTGTCGGTGCTGGTGGTGCCGGTTTGCGTGCCGCCTTCGGTCTGGCGGAAGCCGGATTCAACACTGCCTGTGTCTCGAAGCTCTTCCCTACAAGATCTCACACTGTTGCCGCTCAAGGTGGTATCAACGCTGCTCTGGGAAAGTATGTCAATGGAATGATGGAGTTGAATCTTGGATGATTGTGCTAATGCCGATGTGCAGCATGCACCCCGACGACTGGAGATGGCACATGTACGATACCGTGAAGGGTTCCGATTGGCTTGGTGACCAGGACGCCATCCACTACATGACCAGAGAGGCTCCCGCTAGTGTTCGTGAGCTCGAGGGCTACGGATGCCCCTTCTCCCGTACCGAGGATGGCCTTATCTACCAGCGTGCGTTCGGTGGTCAGTCCAAGGAATTCGGCAAGGGTGGACAGGCCTACCGTTGCTGCGCCGTCGCTGATCGTACCGGTCACGCTCTTCTCCACACCCTCTACGGACAGTCTCTGCGCCACAACACTAACTACTTCATCGAGTACTTCGCTCTGGATCTGTTGATGGAGGATGGTGAGTGCCGTGGTATCATCGCCTACAACCAGGAGGACGGTACCCTGCACCGCTTCAAGGCCCACCACACAGTTTTGGCCACTGGTGGATACGGACGTGCCTACTTCAGCTGCACATCTGCCCACACTTGCACTGGTGACGGTATGGCCATGGTCGCCCGTGCTGGTTTGCCCAACCAGGATCTTGAGTTCGTTCAGTTCCACCCAACTGGTATCTATGGTGCTGGTTGCCTGATCACCGAGGGTGCTCGTGGTGAGGGTGGTTATCTGCTCAACTCCGAGGGTGAGCGTTTCATGGAGCGTTACGCCCCCACCGCCAAAGATCTGGCTTCTCGTGACGTCGTCTCCCGTTCCATGACCCTCGAAATCCGCGAGGGCCGTGGTGTTGGTCCCGAGAAGGACCACATCTACCTGCAGCTGAGCCACCTGCCCGCTGAGCTTCTGCACGAGCGTCTGCCCGGTATCTCGGAGACTGCCTCTATCTTCGCTGGTGTTGACGTCACCAAGCAGCCCATCCCCGTCCTGCCCACCGTCCACTACAACATGGGTGGTATCCCCACCAAGTACACCGGTGAGGTCTTGACTGTGGATGAGCAGGGTAACGACAAGGTTGTCCCCGGTCTGTACGCCTGTGGTGAGGCCGCCTGTGTCTCCGTCCACGGTGCCAACCGTCTGGGTGCCAACTCTCTCCTCGACCTCGTCGTCTTCGGCCGTGCCGTTTCTCACCGTGTCCGTGACATCGCCACCCCTGGCAAGGCTCACCGTGAGCTGAGCTCCGACGCTGGTGCCGAGTCCATCAAGGACCTCGACTTTGTCCGCAACGCCGACGGCCCCAAGTCGACTCACGAGATCCGTAACGCCATGCAGAAGGCCATGCAGTCTGATGTCAGCGTCTTCCGTACCCAGGAGAGTTTGGATGAGGGTGTTCAGAAGATCACCGCCATCGACAAGATGTTCGACCAAGTCGGTACCAAGGACCGCAGCATGATCTGGAACTCGGACCTTGTCGAGACTCTGGAACTTCGTAACCTGCTCACTTGCGCGTATGTATCCTTTCAGCTCTCGAATTTTCAGGTTAGATGCTAACAAGATGTCCTCTAGTACTCAAACCGCTGTCGCCGCCGCCAACCGCAAGGAGTCTCGTGGCGCCCACGCCCGTGAGGACTACCCCGAGCGTGATGATGAGAACTGGATGAAGCACACTCTCACCTGGCAGAAGAAGCCTCACGGTGAGATCGACCTCAGCTACCGTGCTGTCGAGCACAAGACCCTCGACGAGAACGAGTGCAAGAGCGTGCCTCCCTTTAAGCGTGTCTACTAGATACATTCCTCTGCACCTGATGTGGGTGTAATCTCAGCATTCACATGTCTTCGACGAGGCTGGATTGGCCACAGGATCCGGGTCGACCTCAAGATAGGAACCACAGGCTTTTCGACCCATCAGCCCTTAATTGCTTTGCTGAACTGTGGAGGATGGATCGATAAAAGAGCATCATGAAAATTCTGCATTTCCCTGTTTTATATCTGTATATCCATGTTTTCCCTTTCAGGCGATGAGTTAGGTGTACTCACGTTATTTGTTTTCATAGCAGTTTCTCATACAATTGGAGTCTCTTTTGCGTCAGAATAGGGCTATCCAATCCAACTTAGAATTCTTCAATATAACCGCTATACGAGAGTCTGGAAGCTAGTTTCTTAATTCCTGCTGCCATGGTACGTGACCTCGAGATTTTCTTTGATTTTGGTGGATATGGCCTAATCCGGTAGTGCAGAGTACCATTCCGGCCCTTCTCTTTGTTTGTCTGTCCTCGTCTTGAGACAAAGAAATCACTCCAACGGCCCGTCGAACGTACTATACTGGACATCAAACAACATCAGGCAATCAGTGAGTCTTTATCCTTTCAACGGGCTTGGATTCAGTGATGTTTAGCAGCTCATTCCTGACTATGTAGTGACGCAGAGGTCTGGTTCTTCGAGTCTGGACAAATGCCACCATTGCAACCATGGCTTTCTCTTCACCTTCTCTGGAATCGATGATGAAGACTGAGGCATCGCCTGCTCTCCGCTACGAACCTTGACTCCGTAACCCTTGTGGTGGCTGGTAACGGCTTCATAGCTTGACTGATCGTGTACCGAGGACTCCGCCCCGACCAATATTTCTGGCAGACAAAGAACTCGAGTCATTAAGTCTTGCCACTTCGTACGGGGAATGGAGTTGTTTCAGAAAAACTTGCATAGCCATGCTTGCCCAGGAAAAGAAACAATGCTCATTGCAGCTCATACTTTCTTTTAGCTTTCTTGGACTTAGACGACCACATGGCGCTCGACTCCATGGTCACCACTGTTGCGGTGATCTCTGAAGACCTCGCTCTTCATGCGTTCGTTACAATCTTCACTCTCGTTCTAAGTCATTGATTCTGTCTTTTGGTAGTCCAAGTGCAGTGTATAGTGACCCATTTGACGTCCGTCATCTGAGATGACTCTCCATCTCGCCCGTCAAGCCAACACTTGCACTGGCAGCAAGCAATGGTATGTTTGCTCCAAGGGCAACTTCCGTGGCTGTTGCTCAATCGATCCGTGCAATACGGGTGTATGTCCGGATCAAGAAAGCCAGACTACATTGTCGAGGTCGACTACTTCAACCACCTCGAAAACGGCCTCAACTACAACGGCGACCTCGCCAACGACAGCTATCACTACTGCACCTTCCACAAGCTCGCTGGGAGACATCCCGGGCATCATTCCGACTCGAACTGTGACTCAGGCTGTTGCACCAGCGACAGATACTGATGCTGCTGATGCGAGTCCTGGCCATGACCGCGGCGCATTGGTTGGGGGTGTTGTGGGAGGTGTATTGGCCTTGATACTGCTAGCCGGGCTGTTCTTCCTGGTGTACCGGTCTCGCAAGAAGCATGGTAAACGGTTCGTCTTGCTGCGCTGGCGTGTCCCTCGCGAGAGCCATGAGAAGACGTCCACGGTTGCAAGCAGTAGGGGGATTGTGTCAGGGAACGAGGGACGGTTACTTGATGGTGAGCTACGCCCCCTACATGAGTTTGGCTGGGATAAAAACTGACATGCTTCATGCTTAGTCCCAAAAAGCAACACGCCCTCCCACGCAATCGTCAACCAAGCCTTGACAGTCCCGGGCTCAGAACAAACGTCCGCAATGTCAAACACCATAAGCCAACCGTCTTACGCAGACACGAGTAAAACGTTACCACCGGCTGAGACAGCCCATCACAGCTCGCTCTCCTCCTTACCACCAGCATCATCCGCAGCAACCCACCCCTCCCCTGATCAAAACCTCAACCTCAGCACAAACACAAGCACAAGTCCAACCCCAGACAGAGCAGAAATCACCCCCGAACTCTTCGACACAGGCTTCTACCGCCAACGCGCCGAGCTAGCAGCCTACTCCCAAAGCGAACTAATCAACATCCCTCCTGAGCGCCGGCAGATGCAGGTGTCCCCCGCGCAGCATACCAATTCCGAGATTGACCAGCCAGCTCAACAACAGCTTCCGTCGATCATCACGCCGGACGGGGTAATCCTAGGCGCGAACTTTGATTACAGGGCTCCGCGGGATGATCCGTATCCTGGTTCCGGGGAGGGGATTGGCCATGTGCTTAGTTTTATGCAGTTTGAGGAGGGAGGGGAGGCAGGGCGGAGGGAGGAGTGGAGGAAGAGTTTTGAGAGTGGGACGGGGGTGTGAGTTCAGCTATATCTGGCGCTGCTGGGCGGCTGTTCTGTGCTCAGTGGTTGTATACCCTAGTTCTATTGTTGATGTGCTGTTTCGCCGTAGTGGGTGGCTTTCTTTAAGTATTTGGTATTTATGTCTGTGTGACGTTTGTGGTAATTTGGTATAGATTAATCGTTGGCTAGACAAGCGAAATGTATTCTATATACTACTAAAACATATAACCCGAAAGACCTAGCTTTTCATTCCCTGGACACAATATTGAACAGATCATATTCTTACAACAAACCCCTGAGGACGGCAGTTTGCTCCAACACGGCACGGCGGCTGGTGCCGCCGACCGCATCCTTCAGCTCAACGGCACGCTCGTAGTCCAGGCAAGCCTGGACATCTTCGCCGAAGCGCGCGTCAACAGCCTTCAGCTGCTCCAACGACAGCGTGTCCATGGGGACGTTGTTCTTCTCGGCCAGGGCGACGACCCGACCGGAGATGTGGTGGCCCTCGCGGAAGGGGACGCCCTTGCGGACGAGGTAGTCGGCGATCTCGGTGGCCAGCATCTCGGGCGCCAGGGCGGCGGCCATCTTCTCCGGGAGGACGGTGAGTGTCGACAGGACGCCGGTGGCGATCTGGATGCTGTCGCTGACCGTCTTGATGTGGTCCAGCAGGGGCTCGACGCTCTCCTGCAGATCTTTGTTGTAGGTGGTGGGGAGACCCTTGATGGTCATCATCAGGCCGGCCATGTGGCCGAAGGCACGACCGGCCTTGCCACGCAGAAGCTCCAGGCTGTCTGGTCTCGTTAGTTGGGGTCAAGGATGAAAGTAAACAAAAGCAACTCACCTGCGTTCTTCTTCTGAGGCATCAACGACGAGCCGGTCGAGTAGGCATCGGACAACCGGACGAAACCAAACTCCAAACTGCTGTAGATGATCAGATCCTCGGCCCAGCGAGAGATCTTGAGCATGAATGAGCTTCCCCACTGCATGGTCTCCATGGCAAAGTCCCGGTCGGCCACCGCGTTCATCGAGTTGTACAGCAGACCCTCGAAGCCCAGCTCCGCGGCCATTGCCTCCCGATCGATCTGGAAGGGGTTTCCGGCCAGAGCGCCGGTGCCCAAGGGGCTGCGGTTGACACGCCGGGTGACCTCCCGCAGACGCTGCAGCTCACTGGCGAAGGCAGTGGCATGCGACAGCAGCCAGTGGCTCCACCGGACGGGTTGGGCCTTCTGCAAGTGGGTGTAACCGGGCATGATGAAGTCGAGCTCGTTCTCGGCGCGCGCGATCGACACCTTGATGAGGTCGCACAGGACGGCGTCCAGCTTGCGCAGCTCATCCCGCAGCCACAGGCGCATGTCGGTTGCAATCTGCTCGTTGCGGGACCGGCCGGTGTGCAGCTTGCCTCCGATCTCCTTGCCGATGATCTCGGAGAGTCGGCGCTCGTTGGCTGTGTGGATATCCTCGTCGTTCTCCTTGACGACGAAGGTGTTGGTGCTCCATTCCTCGGCGATCTGCTTGAACCCGCGCTCGATCTCGGAGAACTCGTGCTGGGTCAGGATGCCGCTCTTGGTGTTGGCTCGGGCGAAGGCAATGGAGCCGGCAATATCCTGCTTCCAGAAGATACGATCGTAGGGGAGGGATTGGTTGTACTGAACCATCAGGGGGTCGAGGCCCTCTATGAGTCAAAAGATAAGTAGGTTAGTTGTATTCGGAGGAATTGAAGCTGGGGTAGGGGGTACACACGGGTGAATCGACCACCCCAGAGCATGTTCTCTGCGACAGCTTTGGGAGCACTCATTGTGGAAGCTGTAGACGAAGGAATTGATGAATTGAAGAGGAGAGAGTTGCGAGAAGGAGGTGATGGACAGGTCGGAATCCAAATAATTATTCGGTGATTCACGCAGGGAGCGACATCGGCGCTAACCGGATGGGGCCGACTCCTATCAACAATGAGTCACCACTCGATGCTATAGCCATAGTGTTGATTTTCTATTCATGCGCTTGATAAATTTTGATATTCCGGTAATATGAGTTCTCATGTTGCCTTACAAGCGCCTACAAGCGCTGCAGTGGACCTGTGTCGAAGTACGGTTGGAGACGAGTTCAACCGCCTTGCTAATCAATCAATCTCCATGAATTGACATTGACGCAGCAAAGGTTATCGTCTGAGACTGAAAGGTTACTGTCATAATGACAGATATGATATGATACGCAATATATATGTGATGCGGATGTTCTGACAGCACAGTACAGGTCGACGGCGGATACTATTCTCGCTGATAGCCAGAAAGCAGGATGAGAAGCTGAAAGGGGTCTTGAACCAGACACAGCAGTCAAATGACACAACAGTTGGAATGATACGAGCATGTGGATGATGGTACAGGGTCAAACTGCTACTGCTGTCGCAAAACAATCATGTGCGAGAGGACTCCTATATACAGCTCTCAGGACCAATTAGGTAGCCCGAGCATCGGAGGGCGCATTGTTCGAGTATTCTCCGAGCTAGAGGACATCCCAGCCCGATGCACGCAAGCCATTGAAGACTCTGATGGTCAGCGTACAGAATGGAGAAGTTCAAGGCCTTTCTCCGTGCTTAGATCATCAAGTCTCACGAGCTGGCTTTTGTTCTGCTACATGTGACGTGGACTAACAGAATCCCAGAGAATCCCTTACCAGTGCAACTAGCCAAAGTACTGCAGAGTACAGGAGCGCAGCCACAGATGCAACAGTTTGTAAAGGAGATAAAGGTTGGCTCCTCATGTGCATCAGCCACAGCGTGCCCTTATTTAAGTATTGATTTTCTCATAATAGTGCGGTGTATCTACCCCTTGCCTGTGGCGGCAACTCTGATATCCTTGAAGGAAAGGAATCAAACAGGTCTCCAGCCAACGGTTCCAATCTTTTTGTCCACATGGAGATGCAATGTACATACCGGCTTTGTATCATGCAGAGGTGTACGGACGGGAAATAGTGACAGTCAAAGAATGAGAGACAAGACTTACATGTTTGCTACCTAGCAAAGACCACTGTTTAGCCAACAAATGCATATTCCCGAAAGAGCCTGGCAGCATGTCTTTATTCAGCGCATGCGTCTTTAATTATCTGTCATGGTTGAAGGTATGCAATTCAACATGAGGCTCAGCGAGCTCTGCCTCGGCGGATATATATATGTGATATTTCTCTCCAGCTGCCCATCTGTCTACTGGATCTTCCTGGCACAGCCTTCCCTGTACATGTTTGATATATCTATTCCACTCTGGATATTTGCCTCTTCTATACTATATACTTCTTCTCTTTCTCTTCTTCTCTTCATTCTTATCATTTGATTCCAATGCTCCCATAGTCTCCTGCCCGGGTCGAGTGTAAATACTATACGCCTCAACCTCATGTTGTCCAAAGTATCGATACCCCCATATATATACCCTCCGTCCGATCACTACCACTCCTTTTACCACAAGTTGCATCTAGCACCAGGCCATCCCTTCAGCAGTGCTGTCTCATTAAAGCAGCACTCATGCCCGACTGAAAACCGGCGCTTTGGCTTGGAATCTATGGATTGTCTTTGGTCTTTCGCAGACATGATCTTCCCCGCCTCAGTCTCTCAACTGCCTACCGTCACTTCATCGCGGTAGATGGATTGCTTCAACGGCTGATTTCCTTCGGTCATGTATATGCCCAAACAACGCTCCGGACCATGTAGGCAATACATGGCATGCATTCCCTCGGCTCAGCAACACTTCAAGCATCGTGTACAGAGCTTCGCCGTCAGCAAATCAAGTGCGTATGGCACGGCAAACCACCTGGAAGAGGGGCTGCCATTGAAACGAAGAAACAGCGCCAACAACAGATGCTGTGCTGCCGCTTCGAGACAGTACCTGAGGCGGGTTGAACTTTATGAGAAGCATCCCATTGGTTGTGTAGAACACGAAATCACGCATTAGATGCCAGTGTGCTTCTGTTGGCTCTTCAACGTCTTCTATACTTCTTGTCGACTTCATCGGGTTAGGAGTGTTATGGCACTATGGTGGTTCGCCCAGTGAACACCCCATATATAGGACTGAACGGCGTAACGGAGCATTTGGACAGATTGAGATTAGAGAGAAGAGTGACTATCATCGGGTAGACTGGGAGATCCGAAAGGTGAAGATTGACGACATCCATTGATTTTCAGGATTGGGGTGGTTTGATTGATTTGGCTATATGTTGCTTTTTCGATGGTTCGTCCAAGCACATATGGAGGATATATTTGGTATTGCAATCAGTCAGGTTGAAGAGAGCGAAGAAGTCAGACAATGAATGCAATAGTTGTACGTTCTACTCTATATTTGCTCCCGCTTCTATGAAAAGCTTGGAATACATACTCGGTATGATGATCTTGCTTCTGAATGTAAAGATTTGCAGCTAGGAAGGAGGAAGTTGATGTAATCAAGAACTAGAGCCAGCTATTCATTTATACTTCTATCAGAGAGTTTACATATACGTACATCGACAACCAAATAGGTGACCTGTGGGTTTCATGAACTACTGCGCTCGACTTTGGTGTCAGCGCGATGTGTCGTACCTCAATGCATGATTCTGATTGGATTGAATCTAATTGGTACGTGTTCGCGCCTGTGATGTGTTTGCTATACCCCCCTGCTCAGCTAGCGGCGTCTGACGACTCTGTTGGTGGGCTAGTCCTTCACAGCATGCATTTATTGGGCACCGGGTTAGCTTGCAATTTGACTGGACTCACTGGGGTAAAATACAGCCTTGCTGTCAGCCTCATGGAGCTGATTGCCCCTCCCACGCCAGATCACCTGCAACAGAACGTACCGACAACGTCCACCGCACGATGGAGAGACAGCGAGCGTTGTATGTTGTTGTGCTATATCGTCACTAACTCGTGAGAATGGCCCCCCGAATCCTATCACACAGCGACTACACGGTGGCATGGATCTGCGCTCTGCCGCTGGAAACAGCAGCGGCGAAAGTCATGTTAGACGAGGTTCATGCTTCTCTGTCCCAACCAAAAACTGATCACAATGTCTACACTCTCGGAAACGTCGGTGGCCACAATGTGGTGGTGGCCTGCCTACCTTTGGGTGTGTATGGAACCATATCTGCATCAAATGTGGTGTCACACATTGTTTCCACCTATCCAAATGTCCGGTGTGGATTGATGGTCGGCATTGGAGGCGGAGTTCCCGGCAAACGTGCTGATATTGCTGATATTCGCCTTGGTGATGTTGTGGTTAGCAAGCCAACTGCTACCTCAGGCGGCGTTATCCAGTATGACTATGGTAAAACACTCAGTGGAGGACATTTTCAGCGCACTGGATCCCTCAACAAACCTCCTCCAATCTTGTTGAAGGCTGTGGCTCAGTTGGAGAGCGACTATATGACTGGAAAGAACCTAATCAGCAAAAACATCGGTGATGCACTGCAGAAGGAAGAAATTAGAAGGAAGTTCTCCCGACCAAAATCCGACTGGCTGTTCCAGTCGACATATAACCATGAGGGTAACGAGGCAAACTGTTTAGCATGTGATCAGAAACAGCTAGTAGACCGGCCCCCACGAACAACTGCTGAGCCTTACATTCATTATGGCTTGATCGCTTCTGGAGATCAGGTCATAAAAGATGCGGGGACTCGAGATTTCATTGCCCGAAAGGAAGACATTCTCTGCTTCGAAATGGAAGCTGCCGGCCTCATGGATGAACTTCCATCCCTTGTCATTCGAGGCATCTGCGACTACTGTGACTCCCACAAAAATAAACAGTGGCAAGAATATGCGGCCCTTGCGGCTGCCGCCTATGCAAAGGCTCTCCTGTCACAGGTTCCTACTTCCTACTCCGGGAAGGAGTTAGGTGCATTAAAGGAATCAGTTTGGATGGTCCCCTTTCGAAAGAACTCGCGATTCGTGGGCAGGGCAGAAGAAATGAGCAAAGCTGAAGGATGGATCATGCAAAAGGACAGCCCAGGCATAATCGCTATTTGCGGACTAGGTGGAGTTGGAAAGACCCAAATCGCACTTGAGCTGGCATACCGCATGCGAAATCGAGACCCTGCATGCTCGGTTTTCTGGATCTCATGTACCAGCTACGAGAGCGTGGAACAGGCCTACATGAGCATCGCGTTGAAGCTTGGAATCCCAGACCCAAATCCGGCAGAGGTCAAACAACAGGTCAAGGCTTATCTTAGCCAGAAAAGCACGGCAAGATGGCTCCTTATTTTTGATAACGCAGATGATATGGAGATGTGGACAATGGCAGACTTTCTGCCTGAGAGCGAGCGAGGCCATATTCTCTTCACCACTCGAACCCGGCAGATAGCCGTAAGACTGGCCTCGACTCATGTGATAATAATCTCTGAGCCGGGCACGGAGACTGCTGCTGAAATCTTACGCAAGTCGCTGATTAAGAGAGACTTACTTAATGATGCAGAGGCAGCCATTGCTCTCCTTAAAGAGCTTGCTTGCCTTCCACTGGCAATCACCCAGGCGGCAGCGTATATCAATGAAAAGGATATCAGAATTTCTGCATACATCACACTCTTACAAGAGAGCGAGCCGGATGTGATTGAGTTGCTGAGTGAAGACTTTGGAGACGAAGGCCGGTACAAAAATGTCCAGAATCCTGTTGCAACAACTTGGTGGATTTCATTCCAACAGATCCAGCAACTCAATCCAACAGCAATCGACTATCTACTATTCATGGCCTGTATCAACCATCGCCACATTCCGCAGTCTTTGCTCCCTCAGACGACATCATCAAAGAAAAGGACTGATGCCATAGGTCTTCTTAAAGCCTTTTCATTTCTGAATGAGGAGGGCGAAGCCTGTTCTATGAATATTCACCGACTCGTCCATCTTGCGACCCGGAACTGGATGAGGAAGAACCAGCTGTTCAGCCAGCAAATCTTAAAAACAGCCGATCGACTAAGCGAAGCCTTTCCAGATCGTTACCATACCAATCGGAAGCTGTGGCGCGAATATCTACCTCATGTTCTTTCATTGATTGAAGAAGCTGAATTTCAAAAGGAGGAGGAGAAATATGTTGATATGGTTGAGAGGATTGGTGATTGCCTTCTCAGTGATGGAAGATCCAAGGAAGCCGAAGATCGCTTTCTACAGGTACTAAAGATCCGCAACCAGGTACTGGGGCCAGAGCATCCCAAGACCCTAACCAGTATGGCTGCCATGGTATCAACATACTTAACTCAGGGACGATGGACGGAAGCAGAGAAGCTAGCTGTGGAAGTGTTGAGTATCCGGAAACGCGTGCTGGGGCCAGAGCATCCTAACACTCTTAATAGCACGGCTGACTTAGCAGCAACAATCTCAAGTCAGGGACGATGGAAGGAAGCAGAGGTTCTAGAGCTGCAGGTGATGGAGAGAAGCAAACAGGCACTGGGGCCAGAGCATCCAAGAACACTGCTTAGTATGGCCAACTTAGCATCATCATACTGGAACCAGGGACGATGGAAGGAAGCAGAGCTGCTAGAGATGCAGGTGATGGAGAGACACAAACAGGTCCTGGGAGCAGAGCATCCAGAGACTTTGAGTAGTATGAGCGACCTAGCAACAATATATTTGAGTCTGGGACGATGGAAGGAAGCAGAGAAGCTAGCTGTGGAAGTATTCGGTATCGAGAAACGCATGCTCGGGCCAGAGCATCCTCAGACCCTGACCAGCATGGCTAACATGGTAGCAACATATTTGCATCAGAGACGATGGAAGGAAGCAGAGAAGCTAGCTGTGGAAGTGTTGAGTATCTGGAAACGCGTGCCGGGGCCAGAGCATCCAGAAGCTCTGGGGAGTATGAGCAACTTAGCACTAACATACTGGAAACTGGGACAACAAAAGGAAGCTGAGGAGCTGCAGGTACAGGTAACAGAGATGCGCAAAAAGCTGCTAGGACCGGAGCATCCACAAACTCTGGCCAGCATGGGCAACTTAGCGTCATCATACTGGAAACAGGGACGATGGAAGGAAGCCGAGGAGCTGCAGGTGCAGGTAATAGAGATGCAGAAAAAGCTGCTAGGACCGGAGCATCCACACACTCTGACCTGCATGTACAACTTGGCTTCCTACTGGAAATTTCAAGGGAAGACTCAAGCCGCATCGGCTCTCCTAGAACAATGTCTTGCGCTCCAGAAGAAAGTCCTGGGACCAGACCATCCAGATACCTTGGCCTCCTCTCGCACCCTCAGGAAGTGGACAAAAGAGGAACGCCCGTTATTAGATGATCGCTCGCTGCGCCCTGGCCAGGAGGAAAGTGATCACATCCCGAGGCGATCGGGTGTGGCGGTCACTGCCCCAGATAATGAAGAGCATACCGAACGTATGGAATGGCACCAAAAGTGAATCGGGTCAGCAACCCCTGCAAGACGACTCCTTGGAAAACATGCTTTCCTCATGGCTTCCAGAAGCATTTCACCTGCGCCGCGAACTCATGGCTTGGAAGACGTGGATTTAGTGAGGTTCAACTGGGACAAGAGTCACGACTCGCAAGACAGCGCGTGTCTTTTCTTCGGCAGAGCTGCCTTATATGAGATCGCCACTGGCGTGTAGTGTCTCGAAAGTTTGATGGATGTGAAGACAAGAAGTGTCTGAGCAGGATGATGACGGAAAGCCATGAACACTGAGTCAAGTGAAAGTGATCACCCCAATATCTTGAAGTTGTCCACATCCTACCACGCTGTCTGACAACGGTTGCATTAGTACACCATCGTAGACCCTTTGTTTCTGCTCTATTGCTTTGCTCATATGAGTTCCAGTGATTCAAAGATATGTCCTATGAATGCTTTCTCGGACAATCTCCTGCCGCTAGTCTGTTTGACAAGCCTGAAGGCACCATGTCAAATTTCAGGCATTCTCATTGGACCAATCAGATCACTGATTGCTTACGTCGGTGAACCTGCCCATCATTTCAGGGTTCATTCCGATATCGCATTTCCTTAGATATATAGAGGGGTATGCTAGATAGAATGGGAGTGTTGGCTATTCTGTGCTAATAAAGTTGATGCTTCAGATAAGAGATACTAGTAAAGTTTGGATCAAACGAAGGCATTCGGATTCGTCATCTAATAGACCAATCTGCCATCTTCGATACATTTCGATGAAGTTGGAAGGTTTGTCGAGAGAGTGTTCACCAACCAAATCCGGTTAGCGCAGGTTGAACGGAGGATATCATCTCGGTCTGCTTTAAGGTTGGTTCACTTGGGAACTCGCAAACTGCATCTCTCCACCTCATTACATCTTCGCATTGACACCTGGTTTCGATTGCAGGCCAATTCCAGATCCGTACCTCCGCCTAGTCCAATACGTATCGACATGATGTCTCGTACGACGTGGACTGGTGTCTCAGGTTTCGCAGCCTTAATGGACAATACGGACAGAGACCGTTCCGAAAGCCAGACTGACTGGCCCTCCTACTATTTTTCGGACGCTGGCTCGGACGCTGACGACGATGACGATCTCGATTCGCATGAGTGGTTTGCTCGAATGAGACTTGATGGTTCATTCATCACACCAGACTCTTGACTCGGATGATGACTTTATGTACTACAACAACCGCCCCCTCTACGCCACCGAGGCATTTCAAGAAACAAATCGGGGCAGGGAGGACGACGATGACCAGAACGACTGGGCCCGCTACTATTTCGCGGACTCGGATTCGGACTTGGACACTAACTTGACGTACTGTAATAACAACCACCCCATCTCCGTCCGAGAGGAGGTCGAAGAAGCGGAGAGGCGCAGGGACGACGATGACTACTTCCCAGGCATCATAGCCATTCGACCTGGTGAATACAGCTCAGGCACAGGACAGGTTTTTCCCGAAAAGTTCACCCCGCCCAATTCCTCCATCAGACCACAGGATCTCTTCCCGCCGAGTCTACGAAAGAATACGACCCCGCCCGTCCGCCGGTTCATCTCGCGGTTGAACTCGAACGAGATGCTCATCTATACGGACGGCGCCTGCCTGGGCAACGGCCAGGCGAATCCCAGGGCAGGCTGCGGCGTGGTCTTCAGAGAGGAGCGGCCGGGACGAATGGGCCATTTTGCGTTCGCGCTTGAGCTGCAGGGTCCGACGGGGCACCCCCGTCCGCAGACGAGCAACCGGGCCGAGTTGCGGGCTGTGATCGCCGCGCTGCAGTTTCGCATTTGGCCCGGCGAGGGTTGGACGAAGATTGTGATCGCTACGGATTCGGAATATGTGGTTGAGGGGGCTACGTCGTGGATTAAGGGCTGGGTGCGGAATGGGTGGCGGACGAGTAGGGGGAGGCCGGTCAAGAATAAGGATCTGTGGAAGTGCTTGTTGGGATGGTGTGAGGCTGCGGCTAAGGAGAAGACGAAGCTTGAGTTCTGGCGGATCCCGCGCGAGTGGAATGCCGAAGCAGATGGATGGGCTAAACTTGCAGCTGATGAGGATGTGAGGCCGACGACCTTTATAAAGCCGGCGGGTTATCTGATTTAGGATTGCTTCTCTTTCGTCCCCTCATATGAAACAGGACCATCGTCAAGTGTTGTCTCTAAGCCGAAGGGCAGTATAGCTGGAGCCATCTGCTTCTGCATGATTATATCAGGTCTGCAACTCAACCACCGTCCACGTATTCGTCCATCCAACCTCTCCTCCCAGCTTCTCCAGAACCCGCCGACTGGCTCCGTTCGTCGCAAGCACATTCGCATGAACCCACTCCTCGCCTTCTTCGCCAACCTCCCGCCAGATCCCCCCTTCCGCCATCCCACGCCGCATCACCTCGCGCGAAAGCGCTTCAGCGATGCCTTTGCCGCGATGCTCTGGTTCAACAAACAACGTCGCCAAACTTCCGTCAAGGCCGAGAAAGACCCACGCGATGGGCGTCTCCTCCCCCTCTCCAGGTCGATCAACATACACAGCCACTCCCGGGATCCTGGACAGTGTCTCGTCCGAGCGAGGCAGATGCGTCCTGCTACGGACCAGCGCGTAGTGGTGTGGGTGGATTCCTGTCTGCCCTTGACGGTCCTGGAACCGATACCCGGGTGGTAGTCCTGTATCTAGCTTTCTAGATGGTGAGTGCGAGTGCACATTCCGAAACAGGTACTTGACGTATGGGGGATTATCGTAGCGGTGGATCCGGATACCTGGTACTGGCTCCGGGTCCGTGTAAATCCCCGACTTCTTCAGCAAGGCCATGAGGCCAGTATGCATGTTTCCAATGAGAAAGGCCTGCGGCGGTGGGGGCGGCATCTGACCCGGCGCGTTGGCAGGGCCAGGACCTACGCTTCGGGCAGTAAGTGTTGCCAGGTACCCCGGCAGCAACGATAACTTGATATACGAGAGCAAGGCCAATAGCTGGCCGCGAGCGAGCGCTAGAGTTTCGGGGGGGCCGTGGAGAGTGGAGACGACAGCAAATTCCTTGTTGTCATCGACAGAGTCCCGCTCGAGACTCGAGTAGAGGGTCATCTGTGTCTCTCGCCCACGTGGAAGATCCACATACGCAGCCAGCCATGGTCCAGAGGGAGGCTCGGCCCCTGGAAACGTCGTCAGCAGTCTGGCCGTCTCTGACGGGAATGCCAGGTTGTGCTGCAGACGCCGGAGGAGCGGAATCGAATGAGGCAGCTGGGATTTGAGCAGGGGGAGTAGCGCCCGGGGATCATCCTGGATGGTGATCTTATTAAACCCCGAAGAAAGCCTTTGATCGCCGACTGTCATTATCATTGATTTGAAAACAGTGCGGGGAACTCCTAGATACCGTACAATAAATCGATTCACTGGCACCGGAAAGGCTGAAATCCAACCGCTTGCAAGATAGTTAACTGCAGAGTACGCTATTGAGTCATCACTAATGAATCACTAAGTTAGTTAACTAACTAGTTAATAGTCTATCCCTGACTAACAGCTGTCGCGAAGCTTGGCTCCCGCCCTAAGGGCATAGTCGCACAGTATTTGTCATTCCGATTACCAGGATAGGCATGTAACCTGCACATCACGATGCCCAACTGTGGCGGTGCAATGCGATTGCAGTAGATCTGACAGGTCATTCTCTTTTAATTCTCACTTTTCATTCTCACTACGAACTATTTAGATACCCTGAGTAGGGACTATTATTGGAGGCTGAGCTGACTGTAGTCGTGCTTGGATCGCTTACTGGAATTGCGTACCCTGTTAATGCCAATAGTTCGCACGGTGCTCTGGTTAGCGTCTTTGTTCTTGTCAATGCCATGCCATGATATGAGTAAAGGGGGAATGGGGATGCGGATTCGTGATTATTTTCCGATCATGCTCCCCGTTTGTCTAGACGTTCTTCAGATGAGGTGTTAATATCATTGAATTGTACTCCTCTGACTACATCGAGATTCGAACTAGGCTATAGGTATAGAATGATAGACACCAGCCGTGCGCACTCGTGGATATCGAACAAAAGAAATATGTAGACTAGCGAATGACAGAAGAAAGTAATATCATGAATCATAACTCATGAGCATCACCCCTCGCCTAGGCCTACCCCTAGGTCTCCCTCCGCCCGGGGGACGAGGGGGGAGCTACCAAGGCCTCCTAGGTCCCACCATCCAATCCTCCATCGCCAACCACTCGCTCCACCGCGCATCCGCAACCCTTAGCTCCTCCTCCTCCGGCTCAAGCAGCGGCCTCAGAAACGGCACCTCCTGATCAGGCAGAACATCATACGCGCTCTTCGTCGCCGCCCAGCCTCCACTCTTCGCCGCAAAGAGGAAATTCAGCCGCTCCTGCTGCCGGATCGCGCCCACGCCGGCTACCCAGTCCTCCCCGAAGAACAGGCGCAGGTTCGCGGGCGTATCCTGGCCCGTGGCGATCAGGCGGCGGATGTAGACTCTGGCGGAGACGGTAGCCGCGTCGGCTGCGTCCCCTGGTAGTCTGATATTCAGAAAGGTGGCCAGGGCCTGCACGGTGGGGGTGTGCTGGCTCTCTGCTAGGAAGAAGCGCATGCAGGATAGGTACCGCTGGTACCAGTCGTTCAGGTCCAGGGTGGAGAAGTCGGGGTGAGTGTCTGTGACAGTCTCTGTGACAGTCTCTGGCTCCGGGGCGTGGCCCGGGGCGAGGGCAGCCCATGCTGATGGAGACGGAGACGGACACTCGGTTACTGAGATGGTGGAAAGATTCGCGCGGCTGCCGGGGGTGCATTCAGTCTCCATGTCCATTGACTCTGGGAGGATCTCAGAAGGTGTTGTCTCAGAGTGGGGTGTGGGACGAATGCATTTGAGTGAGGCGACTTGGACTTACTTGCGGGAGAAGAGGGAGCTTGCTCGTCTGTATAGGGAGAACTTGGCCAGTAGTCTCTGGCGGAAGCCTGAACGTGCAGCGTCATGGTTGATATGGGACATGAATGATGAGTGACCAAAGTTCAGGTTTGGTTTCATCTGCTGAGTAGTTTAGTCTCGAGGTAAAACAAGTGTGACGAACGCGAGCGAGGAGGCCATCTTATAGATCTCACGGGCCCATCCCGAGATACGAAACGAGACGGGCATGCCGAACCAGGCATGGAACGAGAAAATGAAAGAAGCTTCATTCGGTTTCGGCAGATAGTTTGTGCACGGGTCTGGCAAGTGGAGTTTACTAGGTCGAGTAAAAGGTCACTGATCTGACGAAGGTGATGCTTTTTTCGAGCAGACTAGTAGGCGTCTATCGATCAAGGGATCAAGCCACATCTGCACCAGCCACATAGATCAAGCCACTGTTAAGCCACACCTTGCTTGGACGGCCCTATGTGAACGTGGCTCGTCCAATCAGAATGACCCAAAAATGAGAAATAGTGTGGCTGTGCACTGCTTTGTCATGTAATAGTGGACATTGCAGCCCAATAATCTGCAAGTCCGGACATGAGCGACGATGATCCCGGGTACCTGGACGGGAACACACACTAGAGTAAATGATTTGGAAGACTCAGGCACTAACCCTCCATCCTTGTAGATCCTCGAGTCTACTGGATGCTGACCTGGCTTATCATGATCACTATTGATTTAGGGCCTGGTCTGATCCATACCGCGGTGGATAACGCCACACCCTGTTTGATAACAACCCCCTGGCTCAGTCGTAAACAGTCAATTTGTCACATGATCTTCGCAGTCCACATCTGTATGTATATCGACAGCAACCAAATGACCAATAAGGATAATCAGTGAGTTCTAATGCTATACTATCGTTTTATAGCTAAACGAACTGATAACAATCTAATAGACCATTGAGGCGCCGCTGAAGGGAGGGGGCCAGGGACCGAGGGGAGGCCCGCTGTCTCGCACTTGGCGCGGTCATTAACTCATTATTAGATAGGCTAGAATCTAGATGACATATACTGATCATTAATAGTGTTGGTAGATTGTATTATTTAGGAATGTGTACATTGTTTTATAGTCAGTCTGATTTATGTTAAAGTTTGATAAATTTGATTACATATCATGTGACTATAAACACCTGTTAAGGATCAGGGTGTGGCTTTACCACCAAGGTGTGGCGTTATCCAGGGCCTTGATTATTTAATCTAACAGTAATAGTCAGGGATCCCTCCTCAACAGATGTGACAGATCTGTTGGAATCCATCGGGTACACTCGGTCTAGTCGGGCTCCCATCTGGACAATAGGGCAGCAGGGATGGATTCTTCAAGCACACATGGTGGTCAGCGTGGACCAAGAGTAAGCTCAGGTGATACTACTAGGGTAACAAGAATGTGGGTGACACAAGATGGAGACGTAACATGAGTCTCAGGATGGTATTTGTACAACGCAGCAACGTCGAACGTGGTCTGGCTGTGACGACTGACCACTCTGATACTCTGAGGGTGTACGGACCACGCAAGGGGCAGCTCACTGGTGCAGATCTGAAGTGGCATTGGAAGACGACGTCAATCTTTCCTAGGCCAGTAGAGAGGTAATTGTAATTGTTATCATTATTCAATAATGATGATGTATATATTTGTAAGGACCAAGGACTAACGCGGACAGGCAAAGTAAACAGGGCGACGGGAACCACTAGCGAGGATATTGGAGGAGGAACTGGGAATTAGTTAGGTGGGACTGCGGCTAGACAGTCAGCAAAGGTCTCTAAGAATATTAATCTCGCTTGGCTCTTCCCTGATCAAGCAAATCGACTGATCAATGACATTATTCTCTGAGAGGAAAACTGAGGAAAACTAAGTTACTAGCCATAAGTCCAACAGGGCTAAACGGCCTGAGTAAGAGTGTAAGACCAGGTACCAGCCAATCGCAGTGCCACCGTACTATTCCCAGTCAGGCGATGGATGAGATCATGACTCTGTCTAACACAAATCACCACCAATGATCTTCTCATGGGCGAGGGGAAAAAGCAACGCCAACTCAGATCCAGGGTTCATGACATGCGCACTGATGTACCCCACCACCACTACACGATGGTGTACCTGGATTGTTGTAGAGTGGCTGACTTGACCGACCTCCACTAGCCCAACCTTCTCGCCTCATGCAGGGAACAACAAGATCAAGATATATAGCCTTCAATCCTTTCCAGAGTCAGGGAAGTTTCAACCTCAAAGTCAAATCAACCCAACCCATCTTATCAATTTTCCTACTCCACATTGGTCATCATGTGCTACAAGTCCAACTATGAGCCTTATGTATGTCTTCCTCTTGAACCCAGCGAACAGTTCTAGTACTAACAACACCAGACCAGTCAGAGCCTTGACATCAAAAGGGCAGAAGACCTCTCCTCAGAAGAGCTCCTCAACCCATTGGGTTCGCTCTATCCTCACGTCGTCGCCCTCCAACTCCAATCCGACGATACCCCATGGATCCGAGCCAAAAACTCTCCTGGCTATCGAGATCCCAATTCCTGGATAGACGTATACTCCACAGAGGATTATTCCAAACCCTCGGCGCGCAGAAACAGTGGTGAGTTATCTATCACATTTGATCTATCGTTGCGGAAGACTAAGACTAAGGCTAACATGACTCAGACTCCACAGCCTACCGATTCGTCTCGCGAATCCGCCGATTTCTCGCCCGAGATGAGATGAGGCGACGCCAGCGAGCTGCATAGTTTTCTTCGCTTCTTCTTCACCGTCTTTTCTTCTTTCTTTCTTTCTTCCATTCCGACTTTGAGTTTGATCCTTTGAGTGAGGCCTGCAGGATCGGTCTTTGCATGAAAGTTTCAGAGTGTCGTGTCTCTAATCCTATTTCCTTTGTCAGCATCAATCCTTCACGTGTCAGTCTCAGTGTCAGTCTCGTCTCTGGTTTGTTTTGTTTTGTTTCATCAGGTTTCATCAGGTTTCATCAGGTTCAATTAGCGAGGAGTTCAGGGCTCTCAAGCAAGGAGGCAATAGCATCGTCACGAGCATATTAGTTAATGTCAATGTCTGAGAACAACATGTCAATTCAGATCAAAATCCTATCAAATTCTAACCCAATCAAAACGTGTCCGAACACCCTTCCACAATCCATGCAAAGATTGTTCTAGTGTAGTTTAGATGCCTCACATGCCGTTCTTCCAGATCACATAGGTATACAGCCTACAGGTCCTCTGGCTAGCGTGCATGCAGCTGCAGGGTTAGTCGACCAATAAGATCGATATTCTTGATGTTCGCTTCACGCGAGTAATTGCTTTTGCATGGAATGTATCAGTGTCAGATGGACACCAATTGTCAGATTGACATGATGGAAAACACGAGGGTGAGTCGGTGTGTTAACTTTCCCTTGATACGACCCGAGTAACTATACCCGAGTACACCGCAGTAATCTGCATGCTGCTCATGCGAAAAGCTGATTAGGAGACAGTCGCTACGGACAATAGATATCAACGAGATCTACCAGATGGAGTAAGTACACCACGGAATATAAGGTAGCCTGAGATAGGCGACAGCAAGATAGCAGGCACACGCATCTCAGCCTCGCTGTAATATCACGGCCTTCGTCTGTCGAGCAAGAAATACCAAGGTCAAAGCTCAGGGTAGACGTTCACTGTAAGCGTCAGCATCACAACATGATCATCATTCAAAATCTGTATGGATATTTGTATCCTGTGACACATACACATACCCAAACCAGAAACGAAACATCCTTGTTCCTTACTGAGACTGACCGCTTCTTTACTGTTTCCCATCTTATCATTCTTTTCTTTTGCGAAGCTAGGGGTAAGGGGTTACTTAGCGATGCTACTGTACCTGCTGTAGCCTGTACGGTGTGCCCTCCCGCTACTGCAATCTTGTGTTATCATTACTACTGTACATCCAGATGATACATGATACATCACAGGTGAGGGAGGTGAGGTGCATATGCCATTGCCCGAGTCGAGGTTCAGGGCATGTTCAATGACTTTTTCGCGCTTCAGGCGCTGTGGGAGTTAAGACTGCGCACCTGCGTCTGTCTGCACCCCGCAATCTGCATAGCATTTCAAGTTACCATGTCCGTGTCCGTGTCTATGTCCGTGCCTGGTCATGGTCATGAGGTCGCGAAGGGGAATGCCTCAATCATATCGTGTGCTCTGTATCATATCTACATCACAAGACGGGAACGGGCCGTAGCGTCAGGGGCAGAGTTAGATATTCTCATTTCATTGTTTCATTGTTTCAATGTTTCAATCTCCATTGTTCTTGCTAGTCCATCTCCCCGTCCATATTCTTATACGGCAAGTGGGTATAGATGCAAGCCAAACATATCATCAACGACAGAATCCAAACTCCAACTCCATAGCAAGTAAATGAAAAACAAGAATTTTCCTCCTGGATATCCAGAATGAGGCATCACAAAAGAAATAAATACTCCGCATCGTGCAGGTTAACGAGCGAACAACCAACCCTGAACGCCAGCCATCTCCATCGTCTCGGTCATGATCATCAGTCGAGAATCAATAGTTTATGCAATGACGCCGGATGCACCTGACCCCGTCCCCCAGCGTAACCGCTTCAAACCGCCTCGAACGGCTTCTTGGCCGCAGCCTGCCGACACCCTGCCTCCGAGGGCCCCCGCCCCTCCGTCTCCCATAACCGACCCCACGCCAGTGCCCGACTCCAGCCTGCCAACTTCGCGTCCAAGTACATAGCCCGCTGAGAAACTGATGGCCGAAAAGAGAACCACGACGCCGGCGCTGATCACCCACGTCATAATGGTTGGACTGCCTGGCGACATGGACTCGGCCATGCCCGCTCGACGGCTCTTCTTTGCCGCAGAGGGATGTCCGGAGTTGCGTTCCTTGGACGAGCTGGAGCGACGCTTGGTCCTGTGGGTGTAAGGCGTAGAATCTGGGTGCCTTTTGCTGGGGCGATGGGACCTGGTCGAGGTGGTCTCGGTGGCAGACTGTTCTTCTTTCTCGCTCACCTCCACTTCTCCCATCGCTACTGATTCGGGCACCAGGCGGAATGATGAAGGCGCCCCTCTCGAAGGCTCAGCCGGTGAAGGCTGAGGATCGGACTTGGGCAATCCCCTTGCGGCAGCAGCACACGAGAGAAGCGTGGACAGACTAGCCCGAAGAGCGGCATCGTGGTCTGCATGATACGATGGCGAGATCATATTGTACGGGCTATGTTGAGGCCTTCTGTTCGACCGTAGACTGGCCTGCGAGTTTCTTCGAATGGCGGTCTGACGACTCGAGTTGGAGGCGGTACTGGGTTGGGACTGGTGAGTGCCCGTTGCTCTCGTCCAAGAAGGGTTCTCGGGCGGATGAGAAAACACGTTGGGCTGCGGGACAAAGGGCGATGAGCTGATCCGCATCCCCAGTGCCGTTGATGCGTCGTCTTCATCGCTCGCCGTGGTCGCATCTAGCTCAGGCAATGCAGGGCCGGTCCGCGAAAGGAGAGGCATCTCGACGGGTGGGCGGGTCATGTCTTCATTGGAACTGCTAAGCACATGATCTGATTCACTCTCACTTTCGTCATATTCATCCTGGCTACTGCTGGTCTCCCGCGGCGGATAGTCGACGTGCGCTGTGGCCACGGCTGCCAGTTGTTGCAAACGACGGCGCCGGCTACGGTGGTGATAGGCCCTGGACTCCGTCCGCTCGAGACGCAGGCCCGTAGTAATAATATCATCGTTGGTTGCGGCGGATGAAAGGGAGGAAGAGGACGGTTGGGATGATACTTCGATCCACGAATCTAAATAATACCGAAGTGAGTACATTATGCCACGATTGTTGATATCCATTATACATGTTGATCAATTGCGCGGCTGAAGGAACATCACTGCAGCGAGGTAACAAGTATATCAACCAACTGACCTTCAGATCTCGTGAACGCAGCACCCGACGGAGACCGTGACTGACGCATGTTCTCCCGAAGCGGCTGATGAGCCTCTCTTGTCATCCAGGGGGCAGGTCGGCACTCATCCTGTTGCGCCTGACCCAGCAGGTCATAGTGATTTGGCTGCATTGTCTGTATCTACAACTCGACGGGCGAGCTTCGATCTGAAAGACCCTATCTAGGATAGTTGACAGAAAGAAGTTTGAACCATCTGGTTCGACTAGGGAAAGAGGGGTGTTAAGTCAGACCACGCAGGAGAGAGAGCGGTCAAGGACTCAAGGCAGACAAACGAGGAGGAAGCTGATAGGAAGCCGGTGGGGGTGCGTGGGGAAGAGTACCACCAGATCATCAACCAAGCAGCGTGGCAGCAGTACGGAGTAGTATATTATTATCTTATCAAGGTGGAGTCCCGGCAAATCTTTGGCAGAAGATCATCAACCAGGTTTGTGATCGATGACGATACATAAACCAGATGAACCAGGTCAAAAAGGAGATAGAAAGGCCAAGTGGGAAAAGTAGGGAGGGTTGTCTTGGATCAACGACGCAATGAGTGGACGTCAGAGGATCACCAGACTGTGGGCAGGTGACTTGGGCGCGCAGAGGAGAGAATCACGCTCACGACCCAGTAAATATAGACTTCTGGAAATCAGAAAGAAACACAAGTTACACAACAAAGAACGCAGATCTAAAGCAAAGAAGAATCAAGAAGACGGGGTTTTTAGAAAGAAAGACATGCAGCATGATAAGCGTGAAAGATAGACAGTCAGAGACGTGGACGACTGCTGATCAAAGAAACCAGCGCCAAGATTGAAGCCACAAATGCGGGGCACCAACCACATCCCAGGCAGCGCTCGTACTGTTGATCAGTAACTCTGCTATCACCACAGCACGCTCTCACATTGGACAACTACTTGAACAACCAAACAATAATTTGAGAATCTCACTGACCATTCATAATATTACCCTAAGTAGTCGATCTATGTAGTACAGACAAATTCCCATCAGAACTTAAATGACCAACTTTTTGGAACCCATGCAACCTAGACATAACCCAGATCTTTTGTAAGCCGTAGAGAAGAAACGCCTGAATAAGACACCATGTTGCTACTCATTTAGAAGGTGACCTTGGTGCCCTTGTACTCGGGGATACCACCACGAGCCTTGTTAGGGGCACCGCCGCCACGACCGCCGAAGCCTCCACGACCACCACGGCCACCTCCGCGAGGACCACCACGGCCACCGCGACCGCCGAAGCCGCCACGGCCACCACGAGGAGCATCGCCGTTGCTGGGACGGGGAGTGCTGAAGTCGAGACGGACGGGACGGCCATTCAGCTCGGCGCCGTTGAGGTCGTTGAAGGCCTGGCGAGCCTCATCAACAGAGGAGAACTGCACGTAACCGAAGCCCTTGGGGCGGCCCGACTCGGGGTCGGTGGGCAGACGGATTCCAACAATGGTACCCGACTGACCGAAGAGCTCGGAGACGGAGTCCTCGTTGGCACTGAAGGGGATGTTGCCGACAAACAGGGTGTCGCTCTCAGGGCTGGCTTGGTCACCGAAGTTACGAGCGCGAGCCTGGGCGCGGTCCTGGTTGTTGTTGTTGTTGTTGTTGTTGGCAGGGCGGCCAGTAGCGTAGTCGAGGTTGATCTTGCGACCATCAATCTCGGTGTCCTTCTTGGCGTTGTAAGCCTTGGCAGCGTCGGCAGCGCTGACGTACTCGACATAACCGAAACTGGATGCAGTTTAGCAAGGTGTATAAACATGACAGTAGAGATAAACTTACCCGCGGGAGCGACCAGAGTCACGGTCGGTGACAATGCGAACACCAGAAAGCTCACCGAAGGTCTCGAACTCCTGGCGGAGCCACTCCTCGTCGACGTTCCAGGACAGGTTACCAACAAAGAGGTTGGCAGAGGCGCCCGAAGCCTCCTCATCAGTCTTCTTGGACTTCTTGGGGGCGGCAGCAGGCTCCTCCTCAGCCTTGCGCTTCTTGGAGGGCTTCTCCGACTCGGACTCGGAAGAGTCAGAATCAGAGCCCTCGGAGTCGTCAGACTCATCAGAATCCTCAGATTCCTCGGAAGATTCCTGAGACGGTCAGAAAAAAATTATAAACAGTGTGAGCCACAGGTACATACCTTCTCGGCCTTCTTAGCCTTAGCAGGAGCCTCGTCCTCGCTCTCAGACTCGGACTCGGACTCGGAATCCTCGCTGTCGCTAGACTCCTTCTTGGCGGCCTTCTTAGGAGCCTCCTCCTCTTCGTCAGAGTCGGACTCGGACTCAGAGGACTCGGAAGTGTCAGCCTTGGCCTTCACCTCCTTCTTGACGACCTTCTCATCTTCAGACTCCGACTCCGACTCGGACTCAGAATCAGAGGACTCAGCCTTCTTGGACTCCTTCTTGGCGTCCTTCTTGGCAGGCTTCTCATCCTCGCTCTCACTCTCACTCTCGCTGCTGGAAGCGTCGTCCATCTCCTCGTCGCTGTCGGACTCCGACTCGGACTCAGAAGAGGATTCGGCCTTCTTGGACACCTTCTTCACCTCCTTCTTGGCAGGCTTCTCCTCCTCGCTCTCGCTCTCACTGCTGGAGCTGGTAGACTCCATCTCCTCATCGCTGTCAGACTCGGAGCTGCTGCTAGGAGTAGGCTCCTTCTTCTTGCGCTTGGACTTCTCCTTGGAAGCGAGCTCGCGAGCGATCTGCTTGCTCTTAGCCTTGGGAGACTGGGAAGCCTTGGTGACGCCAGCATCCTTGACCTTGCTCAAGGCCTTGTCGACGGGCTTGTCGGCGCCCTTCTTGGTAACGGACTTGGTCTTAGACATTTTGTACTATGGAAGACGACGATTAGCTTGAGCATCAAGAGGGGAGGTCAGAGAGTAGAATATACATAATAAAAGTTCCTTCAAAAGCGAAAAGTTGTAATTGTGCGGCAAAGCCTACAATCCCTCAATCACCCGATTTGAGTTAAAGCCCCCTGATGGAAAATCCAGGAGTGATGACCTTATCACAGCTGGACGTAAATCTCAACACAAATGGAAGAGATTTAGCACAAATACCCACAAGTAACCCACAACGACAGTGTTCAAGCCCACAGAGACGGAGAGGAAATATGCACTCGTCTATAATATGAAACCCACGGAGAGTATCCCACAGATCCCACAGAATAGATTGCAATATGCCACAGCCCACAGCCCTCAGTGTATTAAGCCCACAGGATGTCTGTTGAAGTGTACTTTGCAAAGTACGGCCCACGCTGCGTCAGTTAACAATATGGTTTTTAAGGAGACTGAAGAGTTTCACCGAATCTAAAAGGACTCAGTTGAGAAAGAGGTAAGAAAAGTGAGTTGATAAAGGGGAAAGTGTGAGGATGAAGAAAAGAAGGAAAAAAAAAGAGAGAACCTCGAGAACTCTGATAAGTATATAGAAAAAATTTCTGGAGGTTGGCAGAGATTTACGCACACCGCCTACTTTGTAGAAGCTAGCTCAGGCACTATGCCACAGTAGCTTAAGAAAAAGTGGGTACCTGGCAGGTACTCGGTGAGCACGCGGCCGTCGCTGGAACCAGAGTGTCACTTGCTGGTACTAGCTTCAAGTTCCACCTCCGCAGACCACCACAGCTTCTCTACCCCAAACTGTTTATTCGACTACCACGGGCATTCCTCACGCTCCTTCTATCGGATTTCTCTTCTTCGGAGACGGACTATACTGAGCCAATGGGCGACAGGTGATACTGCTGCTGTCTAACCACCATGGCTCCTCCGACCCCTTCATCTCATCGGCCACGGAAGAGGAGAAAGTATCCCACTGGCTCGAACAACTCCCTCATCCTTGAAGCCGAGGGTGGAAAATCATCCCCTGCGTTCCCTCTCGTCTCGTTTCTGTGGGCTGCGCGAGCTGGTGTATCTCAATGGCTGGTGCTACCTCTGATCCTTATGGTGGTAGGCCTCTTCCGCTGGGCTGTCAGTCTATGGGGCTACTCTGGTTTGTGCAATGCCTGGGTGTTGGGAATATGTGTCCAAACGTGCGGCTGACGTATAGATGCAGGTTTTCAGGTGCCTCCGATGCATGGTGATTTCGAAGCGCAAAGACACTGGATGGAGCTCACCATTCACCTGCCCATGTCGAAATGGTACCTCTACGACTTGCAATACTGGGGACTTGATTACCCACCTCTGACCGCATACCATAGCTGGCTGCTGGGGAAGATGTACGTGGCTTTCTGAGACATATTATAAGGAAGGCGTTCGTTGTTGACAATCAGTAGTGGAAGCGCTCTTGACCCCTCCTGGTTTGCCCTGGATGATTCGCGCGGCTTTGAGGATCCAAGATTGAAAGTATTCATGCGGGGAACCGTGATCGCTTCCGAGTACCTTGTCTACATCCCGGCCGTCGTTAATTTCCTTCGTCGTTATACTCGGATGCAAGGTGTTCCAGCCTGGTCCGCCTCAATTGCTCTCGTCGCGATCCTATTGCAACCGGCAACCATTCTCATCGATCATGGCCATTTCCAGTATAATGCCGTGATGCTGGGGCTTGTCGTCGCAAGTTTGGATGCTATATTGGCCGGACGGATGCTGTGGGCTTGTCTCTTCTTTGTGGGCGCCTTGGGCTTCAAGCAGATGGCACTCTATTACGCCCCGGTCATGTTCGCCTTTCTTCTAGGCGTTTGCATCTTCCCCAGGATACGCATTCTTCGTCTTCTGAACATAGCCATTATCACCATCCTCGCATTTGCGCTATTGTTTGCCCCGCTGCTTGTCGCCGCAACCAGTGCCGAAGCTCGGGGCTATCTGAGTGCTTCTGCAGAACCTCCTTTGCTCCAGGCTCTACCCATCAAGCTGTCAAAGGACTCGTTTCTGTACGCATCCGTCTTTCAGCTGATGCAAATCATCCACCGTGTGTTCCCATTCGCCCGTGGTTTGTTTGAAGACAAGGTCGCCAACGCCTGGTGCGCCATCCACACGTTCTACAAGCTTCATCGCTTCGAAGCGAGCCTTCTCCAGCGCGTCTCACTCGGCGCCACACTAGCATCTATCATAATTCCTTGTGGAATCATTTTCCGTCACCCGCGAGCATCGCTACTGCTCCCTGCCTTGGCCAGCGTCGCCTGGGGCTTCTTCCTTTTTTCCTTCCAGGTTCATGAAAAGAGTGTGCTGTTGCCCTTACTTCCCATGACACTCCTTCTTGCAAATGATGGCGGCCTGGGCAAAGACACCCGGGCCTGGGTTGGATGGGCCAACGTCCTCGGCTCGTGGACCATGTATCCTCTCCTCAAGCGCGACGAACTCCGGGTCCCGTACTTTGTCATGACGGGTCTCTGGGCCTATCTGATGGGTCTTCCACCGACTTCCTTTGAGACATATCGCAGCCGAACCTCTGTGGGCGAATCAAGTCCTGTCTCCGAGCCTCGCATACTCACGAAACTTCTGCATTTCTGCTTCTACTTGGCCATGATCGTTTGGCATGTTCTCGACGCATTTGTGCCTCCACCGGAGGGCAAGCCCGATTTATGGGTGGTGCTCAACGTCTTGATTGGCGCGGGAGGGTTTGCCATTGCTTACCTGTGGTGTATGTGGAGACTGATCACGCAATGCTGGCAGATTGATCGCAAGGCGGCAGAAGAGGAGAGTCGGAAAAAGAAGCAGTGATAGCCGAGGGTCAGAGGGCCGGTTCCTTGAAGATTTTCTCAAATGATACCCATTTTATACTTTCATACTTTCGAATGTATTTTATAACCCTGAGACGGGTGAAGATCCGATTGTGATTTTTCCAATCCCGTACGTCCTGAGTAAGGAGAGATGTTCTATTCACTTGTCTGACAGACGCCCTTCCCAGAGGACTATATACCTGTAGTGTACATAAGTATACAAAAACTCCGTGCAGTAATGCTAATATACAATCTAAAAATCAAACCGTAGCCCATAACCCAACACCTGGCCCATAGTACAGCCGCATTATTCCCAGTCCATCGCTCAGCGTTAGATCAACACCGAGAATGTCCACGTCAAGCATAACCCAGCGTACTCGCTACACATCGTATATTGTCCAACAAGATCGATGGACAACACGGTTCAGTCGACTCCACCAGCTTAAACCTTGAATCCGTATCCAGCCATGCAGGCCTTGTACTGCTCGATCAGGGGCTTGCACTCTTGAGCCGGGTCATCGGTTTTCGAGAACAACATGCAGTCATCCCGGGCGGACTTCTCGGTCTTGCAGACGCAGCAGGGCTGGAGATGGAACGGTCAGGTCGGTTCTTTCGGGAGCCGGCGCAATGCGCTCAACCACGTACCTTGGGTTTCTCGGTGGGTGCTGGCTGGGCGGCTGCGGGAGCGGGAGTCTGTTCGGCAGCGCCTGGGGAATAATATTAGTATTTTATTTGAGATTCGAGAGGAAATGGAGTGAACTTGGAATAGGTGCTCGTGGGTATAGTTCTGCCGGAGAGATGCGGAGAAGAATCTGGAGTGCATACCTTTGGAAGAGCCGAAGAGCCACGACATGGCGAATTTCTGATTTCTAGGTGGAAACGAATGAGAGAGCGAAATAGAAGATTGTGCGAAAGAGATTGAGGATATGTACGGATATGAAGCAGCTGATGATGACAGGCGATGGAGCTGGAGTGCTGATTAATTGACTGCGCTGGAGCGGAAACGGCGCATTTGGGCTTTGTGGATTGCCGGAGTGCCGCCGATCGGCAATTTTTTTGGTACTGGATCTTTTGTTTGCATTTTTTGAGGAGGCAAAATAATAATAATAATGATAGCGGAGGATTTTCTCTTTCCCTCCACATTTGAACTGTGAATACGATCACCACCTGCAATCTCTCTGACTATTAGATTATACAATCTGATCAACAGTGCTTTCAGACTTACTCTCATCATTTCATATTTCTTTGGATTGTTGGTTAATTCGTCACTTTTTTGTTTGCCCCTGAAACTACCCCACCATGGCCCCTCCAAAGGTCTTTTCACTTGAGGGTAAAGGCCTCAAATTGGACACTGCTGAAGATATTGAGGCCCATATCAAGCCGCTGATCGAAAGCACTGATTTCACCGAGATTCGTCTGGGTGGTAATACCCTCGGTGTACCAGCCTCGGAACGCCTCGCCGCAGTACTTGCTTCGCAGAAGAGCCTTGAAGTCGCCGACCTCGCTGATATCTTCACCTCCCGCCTGCTTTCCGAGATCCCCCAGGCTCTGACTGCCCTTCTCAATGCGCTGCTTGAGATCAAGACTCTCCACACCGTCAACCTTTCCGACAACGCGTTCGGCCTGAACACCCAAGCGCCCCTCGTCGACTTCCTTTCCCGCCACGTGCCCCTCCGCCATCTTATACTGAATAACAACGGGTTGGGTCCCGCTGCTGGTACGCTTATTGCCGATGCGCTCACAAAGCTTGCGGAGCGCAAGGAGGAGGCCCGCAAGGCCGGCGAGGAGATTCCTCTTTTGGAAAGCATCGTTTGCGGACGGAACCGATTGGAGAATGGCAGTATGGAAGCGTGGGCACGTGCCTACAAGGTACACGCTGCAGGCATCCGCTCCGTCAAGATGACACAGAACGGTATTCGTCAGGAGGGTATCTCGTTGCTGTTGAAAGAAGGTCTTCGTCACGCGAGCGCCCTGGAGGTTTTGGACTTGCAGGACAATACGTTTACCATCATGGGATCTACTGCTCTCGCCGGTGTTGTGGCTGGCTGGCCCTCTCTGCGTGAACTCGGTGTCGGCGACTGCCTCCTATCCGCACGCGGCGGTGTCAAGGTCGCTCAGGCTTTGGCAGAGGGCAAAAATCAAAGCATCCAGACTCTGCGTCTGCAGTACAACGAGATTACGGCCGAGGGTGTGAAGCTATTCTTGCACGCTACAAAAACCGCCCTTCCTTCTCTTCGCCGCATCGAGTTGAACGGCAACAAATTCTTTGAAGAGGACCCGAATGTGACAGAGTTGCAGGAGGTTTTGGAGGCGCGCAAGGAGGAGCACGGCACCGATGATGATCCCGAGGACATGTGGGGTGTGGATGAGCTAGATGAGCTTGAGGAGGAGAGTGAAGATGAGGAAGAGGAAGAGGCCGAAGAAGAAGAGGAGGAGGAGGAGGAGCGCAAGGCCGACAAGTTCCTCAAGGACAATGTGAAGGCGGAAGACGAGAAGGTCGCTCAAAGACAGGACAAGGATGTCGATGCTCTTGCGGAGGCTCTGGGCAAGACTGCTCTGTAGACTTTGCGGAGTCGTCTCCATTACCTGTTTACGCAGACCCAATTCCCTGTCTTGTATCCCGACTCAGCGGCGACCAGGCTTATCTCGCAGCGGTCATTGATGTATGACCATACTCGTCAGCATGTCTAGGAAGACATGCGGCAATATGGCACCAGCAATGATGGGTCAACGGCCATTCGCACCCACAGTGACCCGAAATAGGGTCGAATACTGCCTCACGTCGAGTTTCCCTGCTTCGAAGTACCACTACGAGTGGCCATATCAGGTTGCATTCATGCGCTGATCTCACCATAGCGTTCCAATTGCGTCTTTTACTGCACAGATACGCGGATAGATTTATGCCATCATCCCCTTTTGATTGTCCCATGCAGCATGTTACTACCCCTACTTATGTATATAATGTTGAAAAGTGAATGAAGTGATGACAACGGCCATGCATGCTGAATCGTAGTTACTTTTGAGGCCACACATTTACTAAATACATATTACCTAAATTTGTACGTATTTTTATTTCACGTATTTATATAAATAAATTATAGAAATACTCGTTCTAGCTGTCATGGAAGCTGAGGGGCACAACCCCATACATTTGAGACTCGGCACGTGGGAGCTTCCGAAAAGAGCAACGCCGGTCTTGGCGCGGAGGTTCACTAATTGCTTCATCTTCATTTACTTGTCCATCATCTCCAAGTTCTCCGCCGTTTCATCTCACTTCGCCGGTCTCTCCGTTGCTCGCCTTTGCCTGCACCGTCGCAGACTTCTCTTTGCCTCTTGTCCAGGGAATTCGCCCGGAAGTCGTACTTATCGGGTCACAAGACCTCAACGTCGTGGAAGTGAGTTTAAGCAGCAGTTCCCTTTGCTTCACTGGTTTTTCGTCGAGTCTTTTGCACTTCTTTCCTGAAATGAGCTGGGCGCTCAATATGAGGCATTGCATGCATGTCCCTCGCTCAAGTGATGAGAGCATTTGCAGCTACAGCTGTCTTAAAGGCACGTGCCGCCGGATGTGCTGCGACAGTGATGGCAAACGCTTGTCGCAGAGGAATCTTGTCGAATTAGGTTATGGCTACTTGCGACAGTTTTTACGCATTTTGCCATTGCATCTAAACTTTGTACCTCGTTGGCTTTTTTTGAATATGCGCTACATCTACAAGCGATTTATTTAGTCTTCTGGTTTGCTAAGACTGAGGCAGGTACAATTCTCACGACACGTCCCCTCCCTATCTTCATCCAACCTACGATCGGGATCGGTCAAAATGGCGATGGATGCGAAGGAAATCGAGCTCAAGGCGAAGGCCCTGACAAAAGCAGCCACCCAGAACGAGCCCACAGCCAACATCGTATCACTGCTCAAGGAGCTGCAAACGGGAGTGAAGGCAACGGAGGATCTGCTGCGGTCGACGCGCGTCGGAATCATCGTCAACAAGTTCAAGCAGCACAAGTCACCCGAAGTCGCCCGTCTATCCAGCGAGATCGTCTCGAAATGGCGGAACGAGGTTAACAAACAAAAGGCCAGCGGGTCACCGTCCGTCAGCCAGCGTTCGAGCGGCTCGCCGCGCCCAGCACAGAACGGCACCGCATCGCCTGCCGGGACAACCCCATCGGACAAGTTGTCTAAACTCTCCGTTCCCCCAGACAAGCGGACGTGGAAGGCGGACGGTGTGGATATCAATCAGACTTCGAACAAGATCCGGGATAGTTGCATTGGGCTGATGTACGATGGATTGTGCCTCAACTCGACCGAGTCGCCTCGGGCGGTGCTGTCCAAGGCCTGCGCGGTGGAGGCGGCGGCGTTCAGCGCTTTGGGCCCGGAGACCAAGGAACAGTACCGCACCAAGATTCGCAGCTTGTATCAGAACCTCAAGAACAAGTCCAACCCTACACTACGGGTGCGCGTGTTGTCGAATGAAGTGACTCCCGAGCAGTTCGTGAAGATGTCGCACGATGAGCTCAAATCGGCGGAACAGCGCGAGCAGGAACGCAAAATCCAGAAGGAGAACATGGATAAGGCCATGGTTGCGCAGGCCGAGCGCAGTATCAGCACCAGTCTGCAGTGCGGCAAATGCGGACAACGCAAGGTCACCTACACCGAGGCGCAAACACGCAGCGCAGATGAACCGATGACGCTGTTCTGTACGTGTATGAACTGTGGTAAATCGTGGAGGCAGTGATTTTTATATTCGGTGTTTCTTTTCGTTTGTTGGCCTCGTACGGAGGCCTTTCTGGTTGTATTGCCGATAGGCACGGAGTTTGAGTGGTAAAAGACGGTTTTTTTTTGTTTCGTCATGGGCGTGGGAGGGCTAGCCCATGATGACTTTCATTTTGAGTTATTCTTCTGTTCCTCTTCAACTCGGGTTCTCTTTATGCTAGCTGATTGAGTAGACCGAGGACATCCCTACTGCATCCGCGCAGCAGACAAGACGGTAGACAGGTATGATAGGCTTAAGCCAATGATATACAATATGCTACTCATGGACTACAGAACAGCTTTCTTTTATTCTCTTCGCCATAATTCTCGCCGCATCGCACTGCTCAAGTAGATATAGACGTCATGGTTATGTAAGTCAACACCACGCCGCTCCGCTGCACAGCATCCTCAGTACAAACAACAACACATCAGATACATCTCATCCATTCCATCAAACCTTCCCAACTCAAAAAATAAACGCTAAAATGACCACCCCAAGAACATACACCCGCAGCGCCCTAATCCAACCCACCCTAGCCCTCTGCGACGCCTTCGCCTCCGCAGCCCCCGTCCCCGTCCTCCTCAGCCATTTCACCGCGGACCCCCTCCCCATGGTCCACGAGCACGGGCTGCCCGCCCTAGCCCCATTCCTGGGCCGCACATTCACCGGCACAGACGGGGTAGGCCGGTACTTCGAGCTCATCGCGGACCTGCTCAGCTTCGAGAAGATGAGCTTCGACGGTGAGGACGAGTGGATCGTTGATACGGTGTCGATGGCGGTTTCGCTGCGGGGGCGGGCGCGGTTCACGTGGAAGGAGACGGGGGAAGGATGGGATGAGACGTTCTGTTATCGGATTGGGCTGGCGGAGGATCAGGGGAAGGGTGGCGGCGGGCTGAAGGTGCAGGAGTACCGCGTGTGGGCTGATACCGGGGCGGCGTACCTGGCGCGGACGCACCAGTTGGGTGAGGTGCAGCGGGAGTTGGTGGAGAGGGAGACGAAGAAGTCGATGGAGAGGACAAGGAGTGGGCATGGGAATCTTATTGGGGAGGGACAGAGGGTATATTCTGGGGGAAGTGGGACGGCATAGATGTGTACCTTGTTTCATGTGATATAGATTTAAGTGTATGGCTAGGTATCTCTAAGTTATGGCAGGCCCGTGGATGGAACTAGACACGATCCGCGTGGAAATCGATCCAGCCGATGTTGCCCGCCTTGCCGTCCGGCGTCTGGAACACCTTCGCTGGCGAGTCGTAGCGCTTGTACTGCTTCTTGTCCATGACGATGGTGAACCCGCCTTCTGCACGGCCGGTCGCGTTGAAGCCGGGTCCAAACACCTTGTATTCGGCCATGACTGTCTGGTTGGTGAACCGGCTTACGCCAGAGACGACCCAATCAATGTAGCCGCTGGGCTCGATACTGCCATCCTCGTAGGTATTGGCGAAGATGGACCGGTGTAGACTGTTCCATGGCCGGCCCAGAGCACATTTGCCAGCAATCACCGGGGCAATTGAGGCGTTTGCTGCTCTCACAGTCGAATCGACTATGTACACGCCGTACTGGTTCTCAAAGGTGGTGTTGGTGCCCTTCCACGCGGTGATACCGCCGCCGCAGTTGCGCAGGAGGATGTCCGACGATTGGATCCAGGCGGTACCGAAGCCGTACAGGAAGTCGGTCTGGCCGGCGATGATGTTCTTGTAGAAGTAGGCGTTTCCTAGCTTGCCAACGTACACCTGTGCATGGTCAGTTTGTCCGTCCCTGCAACCGACTAGAAGCGTGAGCAAGAGACATACAGTATCCTGGTAAGAGTAGAATCCGCAGTAGTAGAAGCCGCCGTTGGCGCGACTGAAGCTGAGAGCATGCGCCGGTCCGTCGGAGTAATCAGCCCATGTGTTGCGAAAATCGATGTTGTAGACCCTGAAATCGGTGTTACCGAAGGGAGTATCCTCCGGCACTGGATACCCCGTTGGCCCTGAGCCGCTGTAGCTGGCCTCGAGTGTAGGTGCAACGACCAGCACGCTGGAAAAGACATTGTCTACGCTCTTTCCGGTGTTGTCGTGGTTCGCTTGGGCCCATGTGATGGTGACCTTGTTCTTCGAGGCATCGGTAACGCTGTCCGTCTGACCAAGCAGGGTTATAGGGCCGGAGCGGGTGACATTCAGCTGCTCCGTGTAGTTGCCTGCCAGTATCAAAATGGTCTGCTTACTGTTGTCATTTGGCAGAGATTCGATAGCAGCCTGGACGGTGGAGAAGTGGGCTTTGGGATGAGACTTGGAGACGATGACGGTTCCCTCAGGACAATTCCTCAACGAGGTCTGGCAAGTGCGACGAGACGACGGATGCAATGCAGCCGTTCGTACAAGCACTGCCTGCAGAAGCACGGCGAGAAACAAGAGATAGGACTTCATTTTGCCTTGGCTATGCAGATTTCGCCACGAAGCCCGACGCTGAGTGTCCGCGGTTGAGCATCAAAGTCGCCCAGGTCGCCATCTTTTATATGCTCCTCCTCCGGACGATAACTAACGCGTTTATTGTGCTTCTGGAGAAATTTGGAGAAATTGCGGGGGCAAAGACTGGGGTAGAACAAGCCGGGAGAGTATCCCCGCGGCTGACAATGCTTGGAACGCATACACTGACGAATATCGACCGGGGAAACAAGCATGGCGAAGACTCTTGCTACATGTCAAACCATCAATCGGCCAATTGCATTTGGATTTTTCTCCTGGCAGGAGGAAAGCTTCCCCGCTGTCCCGGTCGATTTCCCCAGAATAAGCACGGAAATCAATTGCAGCGGTGACGGAGAATTGGATTCCACCTGTCACGTTTGAAATCCTCGGGGAGGCGCAAACAGCGGCCTGTTTCTCGTTATCAATGTCAAGGCAAGTCCGTCTAAGCAAGCAGCTGGAGCTATCTTCCTCAAACTGGCTCCGACTTGATGGTGGCCCGGTTGACGGCCTGCAATGTAGGGCCTCAGTTACGCATCAACGGAGACACAGGCGGAGAAATAGGATGACTCTAGTCCATGTTGGGTCTTTCCTGCCACGCACATATATCTCGTAGTGTAGATAAAGCGGATCCATTGTTGCTGGGGATCACTTGGATTGCTTGAGGCAAGCATAGTAAACAAGTCACCGCGCCCATCCCTGATAGGACGGGCTCAGTGCTATCATGATCACGAAACGAGGGTCAGTGATACATCGCCATGAATGGCGTTTCATCCGTCGCTAAAAGGACTTGAGCATGGTCAGCGGCAAATAAGACCCTATATGGTGGTGATGATGGTGATGGTGCTGGTCATCAGAATAATGACAGGAGGATACTTTGCCTGTACCTGGCTGCCTGAGGCACGACTGCATACTTCTGCTTCTACGAGAATGCGGTGAACTGAGCAAAGCCGGCTCGAACAGCTCCATAGCTACAACCAATTCAACTAAATTATCAGCACTTGATTCATCCATGCTCGGTTATCTGCAACTATTACAGCCAGGCATTACATCTTGCGCAGATTAGTCCGGACTACTCAGCGCCCATCATATGGTCAGACCGTCAACCGCGATAATCAGACAATACGAAGCACCAGAGCCCGGTGGGGAAAAGTCCGAAAGAAGCAACCAAGCATATGGGATCAAGAGAGTATTACGACGTGCGTCATGCATCCATCCCGCACGGCTGAACGAGACACAAAATGGGCAGGTCGCTGGACGAGCTAATGCTCGAGGCGAGAGCTAGTACGGAGTAGCTACACAGCTACCCCTCTAGCAGACTAGCAGTTCGAGCTACTGCGCACGACTGCCAAGAATGTCGATAGTTCCTGCGTCTTAATCTATTCATCCCACAGATCAAGGCGCTGAGAGGCTGGAAGCAACCTCGGCAGAAGCTCCTTCGGGCGAACTCCGAGCACCAAGTGGGATACAAACCGCGCAGTGGCAGGCTACTTGCTGCAGTTGTGCTCTTGTTCCTGGATTAAGTGGAGAGACTTATGCAAGAGAAGTGGAGCATAGCAGCTACGACGGTCGATCTAAAGAGAGGAAAAAAAGGGGTAGCTCTGAAGCTCAACTGGAGCTATCGCAGGCTGGAAGCCAGTGCCCTTCCACGTAGATCTGATGCCTCGAGAGGAAACTTTGGAAGAGCAGTTTGAGAAAGAGTGAAATGGAAGCACTGATAACTTCTTGAAATCGCTTGATTCACTAAATTTACCACTATTAATGACATACATACATGTAAAGAAAAGAATTGACTCTATGTAGAGACAAATGAGAGAGAAAAAAAAGTCTATAATACTGTTTAAAAAAAGGTAACCAGCCGAAGCCCAGCCCTATGCATGTATGCTCAAGTGATATCCAGATGAGAAATTAGTAGTGAGAGTAATCAAGCGTCTACTCATCGTCCTCCTCCACCTCGGCACGAGCACCGAGAGTGTAGTAGGACTTGCCGTCCCTATCGGTCTCATGCTCGATAGCCAGCTTGGAGAGGTGGGCAATCATGTTCTCGATCTTGGTGTCAGCCTTGGAGCGGGTCTTGCGGCCGAGGTTGTCAAGGGCGGGAATGATGGTGAGGATGTAGTAGACAACGGCAATGATGATAGTGACACCAATAGAGTAACCCCAGATGACAACGACGGTGACGATGTCGACATCGCCGTTAACGGAGAACTCGGCGTGGCTGGGAGGGCTGGTCTGGCGGTAGTCACCGGAGAGCCAGCCGAAGACACAGAAGAGGGTGGCAAGCACATCGACAACGAAGATGGCGCCAACCAGCTGCCACGAAGGCCAGGTCTTACCACCACGGGTGACGAAGATGAGCCAGTTCTCGGTAAGGGCGACTTCAAGGAAGATCATCTCCTGAGGAGAACCGAAGTTCTGGATGAGACCACCGTTGTTCAGGAAGAGGGAAGCACGCATAATCCAGGTGGCACCAGCAAGCAAGATACCGAGCACGATGGAGATGACCCAGATCTTAGGCAATTGCCACTCGACAGGGCGCATTTCGTAGTGGGCATTGTCGTAGGCAACGGCGATGGTGGCCAGATCAGCGAACAGGGCGATGAAGACAACCAGCTCGGAGTTGAGGGTCTCATCAATGATGATCATGGAGGTGACAAGGTAGATCTCAAGGTGGAGACAGAGGGCAATACGGTACTGAATGTAGGCCTTCATACGCTGGAAGATTTGACGGGCAAGCTTGATGGCATCGACGATGGTGCTGAGACCGGGGGCAAGGAAGACGATATCAGCAGCGGCCTGGGCAGCCTCAGTGGAACCCTCGACGGCAATACCACAGTCAGCCTTCTTCAGAGAGGGAGCGTCGTTGACACCGTCACCAGTCATGGCAGTCAAGTGACCACGCTGCTGCAACATCTCGACGACCTGGTACTTGTGCTCGGGGAAGACCTCAGCGAAACCATCAGCCTTCTCAACGAGGTCGTGCTGGGCAGAACCGGCAAGACCACCGTGGATCAGACGCTCGGAGTCGTAAACCTTGGTGCTCAGGGCAAGCATCTTGCAGGTTTCCTTGGCAATGGCAAGGGCATCACCAGTCAACATCTTGACGGACAGACCGAGGTGCTGAGCCTCAGCGATGGTGTGGGCAGTATCCTCACGAGGGGGGTCGAACATGGGGTACATGCCGAGCAGTTGCCAGGGCTCGCCCTCCTTCTGGACGGCAACACCGAGGGAACGGAAACCACGGCGAGCGAACTCAGCAGCCTTCTCACGGAACTTGGCAGCCTCCTCCTCAGAGCACTGAGACATATTCAAGATAGCCTTGGGGGCACCCTTAGCACAGACGTAGCGGACACCGTCGCAAGTGCAGACAGTGGTGATACGCTTGGAGACGGGGTCGAAAGGAGTGTACTTCTCAGTAACCCAGTTGCGGGAGAGAATCTCACGGGCCTTGGGGTAGCGACGGAGGGTAAGGATGGTAACCTTGTCAATGGGGTCGAGGTTCTTGACATTGTGGTTGGAGGCAATAGCAGCAACGGCCATCATCCAGTTGACATCAACACCCTCATTGACGTAGGGCTCACGGATGGAGAGCTGGTTAGCAGTGAGAGTACCGGTCTTGTCAGAGCAGAGGATGTCGACACCAGCA